ATGCCGGGCACTCGAATCGGCGAAACGTCGAGAAAACATTTTTCGAAAGAACGACGAGGTCAAACAGCCCGAAAAACAACAACCATTATCAAAATCAGTTTTGAAAAATGTTTCAAAACTTTGAGACGCGAAAAAACACCTATGATGTATAGGAATAGGATAATTTACTTGCTACAAGGTTCCCAAAGTTAATAGGTTGCCTGGCAATGGGTTACTTGATGACGCATCTTATGGAGATTTGCATTATGTTGAGGCACCCCAGATGACGTCAAAAAGTTATCAGGCAACTTACCTCTCTCAAACAACCTTGATCTCACTATAGGACCATTTGAGGTTCTCTCAATTCAATATGGCGCCGTGGGAATAACGACAACCGTAAAGGCACGTTTACATTCAATAGACATTCAAACTGCAATCAATTGAAATTGAGTATAAAGGCACCTTCACTCTCGTTAAGTTTGTTATATCCACACTGCCATCTTAAATTATTGAAATATCCAGTGGTGGGGGTTTGGTCAAAGTCAAAGTCAAAGTCAAAAAATGCTTTATTGTCTAAGAACAAAATTCTCGTTGACAAAGCTGTAAAAGGGGAAAAAAAAAACATTATACAAAAATAATTCCAGGGCCATAGAGTACCAAGATTGAAATAATCAAAATAAAAATACAATACAAGGTCAGACTAAAACAATAAAATCATTTAAACAGTCATTAAAACAAAAGATGAAGTCACTTTAAAAATCAACATAAATATAAACATAAATCAACATAAATACAAAAACATGTTCATTCTAAAATATAAAATACAAAATATCAAAATTGCACAAACGTAAAGTCAACAGACATAGAAGTCATTGAATAAAACTACAAATTATATTCAGACAGTCACAAGAAAGCATCTTGGAAAAATTCTTCTGTGCTATAGTAGGCCTTTGATAATAGAAGCCTCTTAAGATGTACTCTAAATTTTTTACCAGATACTATCTGTCTCAGATGCAGTGGCAAATGGTTAAAGATCTTTTTACTTTGATAGATTATCGAGTTTTTTGTTTGTGTGGAGGAAGGGATAGGAAGGTTCACATTGTGTGTTTGTCGAGTGGTATGTACAGATGAAAATTCGTGTATGTTTTCCTTAAACTTTTTATGAACGAGACATGAAGTCTCTAGTAAAAAAATACTAGGAAATGTAAGCAATTTATGACGCAAAAACAATGGTCTACATGAGTCTCGTAATCCTATCTTAAACATATACCTTACCGCCCTCTTTTGCAACACAAACAACATATTAAAGAGAGACAATGAACAAAAACCCCAGAAACATATTCCATACCGCAAATGGGATTCAACGAGAGCAAAGTATGCACTTTTTGTTGTCCCAAGATCTAGCTTACTCGATATTACTCTGATTGCATAACATCCTGATGACACCTTTTTGCTCATGTATGTTAAGTGAGGCTCAAATTTTAGTCTATCGTCTATGTATACTCCTAAAAACTTACTCGATTTTTGACTGGCAACAGTATCTGCCCCTAAGGTAATTCCCTCAAAACCACATTTAAATGTTAACACATTTGTCTTCGACACATTAAAAGTTAAACAATTCGCATCAGTCCATTCTTTTACCTTAACTAAATCATTATTGATATCTGATTTAAGCTGTTCTACATCCTTATTTACCCAGAGAATCGTGGCATCATCGGCAAACAGTGTAAATACCCCAACTATATCAATGCTAGACAGATCGTTGATGTACAATAAAAATAATAGAGGTCCCAAAACAGATCCTTGTGGAACTCCTGCACTTATAGCCAGTTGTTCTGAATCAACACCATCAAAAGTAACTCTCTGTGCCCGTTCAGAAAAGTAGGACTCAAACCACTTTAGAGCTACCCCCCTCACCCCATAGGCTTCCAGCTTACATAACATTATTTTATGATTGACACAGTCAAAGGCCTTTGACAAATCACAAAAAACCGCTGCTGCGACATCACCGTTATTTAATCCCAAATATAGTTTCTCCAAAAATGCGAAAATTGCATCATTTGTGCCACATGACTCCCGAAATCCAAACTGTTCACAACAGAGAATACTATGTTTTTTAAGAAAACACATTAAACGCGCCTTGACTAGCTTTTCTATTACTTTAGACATTGTAGGCAACAATGAGATTGGCCTAAAATTTGAGGGTGTATCGCAGTCACCACCCTTGTGAAGAGGTAAGACCCTTGCAAGTTTCAGACAGGAAGGGAAAATCCCTGATTGAAAGGACTGATTCACAGAATCAGCAAACACCTCTAGAACCGATTCGGGCAAATGCGAAAAGACCTTCAGCGTAATCTCATCCCATCCCGCAGAATTTTTATTTTTAATATCTTTTAAGGTGTCTCTGATTTCTTGTGTTGTAGTAGGTTTAAAGAAAAAAGACTCGGATACGCTTATGTGACTTAGATATTCTCTAGGGTTAGTCCCAGAACTAATTTTGCTAGAAAGAGAAGCCGCAATCGAACAATAAAATTTATTAATTTCCGTGGCAGTCAAATTTGAGTCCATTGGTGAAGTATTCTTTTTTCCTCTTAAGTTATTAACAATTCTCCATGATTCCTTTTGTTTGTTGCCAGCCATCTCTATCCTATTTCTAAAATATAATTGCTTAGCGGTTTTAACTACTTGCCTATATATTTTACGATATTTGTTGAAAAAAAGCATAAAACCATCATTCCCCAAATAAAACTTCCTAATGTAATGCAAAGAACGCATATTTCTAGCCGATACTCTTAAACCTTTTGTAATCCACAGTTTTTTACTCTTACGGAAAAGATCTATAAAAAACACTCAACAAAGCAGAATGCAACTCCGACAAAGAATTCTCACATCTACCAATCTCGGTCCAGTCTGTATGCTCGCAGAGTCTCAAAAATGTCTCAAAGTTACCTGTAGAGTAAAGTCGTTTGTACTCTTTTGGCAGTTTAACTGTGCCATAGTCACATTCCACCTCCAGTCCACACACAACCGCCTCATGATCGGAAAGACCCGCACCAACTGTTGAACAACTCACTCTCCCTTCATCAGAATTTGTACAAATATAATCCAACAATGTCGCTGAATTCGCATGGTCGATTTCGTATATAGAGTGTCCCACCGGGAACCAAATCAATCTATACAGAGTGTCCCCGTTTAACTGGTCAAAAATGCTAGGGTATATAGAGGAACCATGGAAAAGTAGTTTGACACTGATGGTCAGTGGCGTACCATTTTTTTTTCAAAAAATCTAACACACATGTGCGTAAGTCCGTCTTTAGACAAATCAAATCAACTGCGATTCCTTAAAAAGTTGCATCACCACTTATCATTTAAATCCTGAAAATTTCATTAAAATCGCTAAAAGGGAAAAGTTCGATTTTTTTGTAAAATTTCAAAACCCCGTATTTTGGAAACGACGCACTTCCGACTATCGGTGTCCTATCTCAAACTACTTCTCTATGGTTCCTCAATCCCTAGCATTTTTAACGAGTTGAACGGGGACAAGCTGTATATGAAAAACTGTATGCATTTCCAAAAATTTTCTGCATACAGTTTTTCATAGATCGATTTGGTTCCCAGTGGGACACCTAGTATATGTGTTGCAGATATACACTTTCAAAAAATTTCGCACGTCGCTATTTTATGAATGGAATCACCCATGTTTTTCTAGAACTGCATTCCTTTCACTGATCCCCGTAGCTTCAGAACAAAGATAATAACAATAATCAAAATTCAATGTTTAGTTGTTCAATAAATCAAGCTGTATTCCAATCCAGAGCTCGAAATAATCAAACATCCATTTTCCAATTTATGTTTTGAATATTCCCAGCTTCTGTTTGGTGTGATTTGATTGATTGAATTATTTCTGGAACTAATTGGGTTGGTTCTATACATTGACATTGGTTCTATAACTTAGAAACTATTCAATCAGACAAAACCAATCAATTGACGTGTCTCGTAATACCTGGGGTGCGTTCAAAGACGGCAATGCTAATGCCAAAACCTACTTTTCCCCCTCCTCCGGTAATGCCGAACCACATAGGTTGGAGCCGAACTCGAACGCAAAATGCCAATTTTGGCTTGGCTGTAGCCATTCCTGAACGCAGCCCTGGTGTGCGCGCGCAACTCGTGGGTTGTAGGTGAGCGTCCAATGAAAATCGAGTTTGTTACGGGCTTGTGTCATATTCGTATTCAGGGACGAGTTCAGAATTAATCGTTCCTTCTTTCTTTGTGACGTGTAAATCAACAGAGAGCAAACTAATACTTTACGTATTACTTGAACTTATCGCAGTGTCGTTTAAGGTTATGTTAGATTATACTTGACATATTCCTTTGCAATTTCATTGTACGCTGTTGCTGGATGAAACATTTATTAAAATAATAAAGCCATCGATGTTAACATACACTTTAAAGTTCTTCTTTTGTCTGATTTAAGGCACACACTTGACAATATATCACTTCTTTAATATTATAATGTTCGATTTGTATTGTCTACATTTGTTCTGCAACAATACAATCTGGCTACACTGTAGCCACGAGTTGCGCGCGCATGTCATTTTTCATTACTTTCCAACTTGTATTTATTACAATTAAGCTGTCTTTTTCTGGCTCTGCGAGACACGTCAATTACAGTCAAAGTAAAATATTATTGACTTTTACAGTTTTTGAATACGTACTTTTGGTACTTAGTTGGGTTAATTCCTTATCTTAAAAACCTAATCAAAAGACAAAAATTACCAAAGTTTGAACTTCAATTATTGTGAAAATTAAATTTCCAATTATTTCCGGCAGTCACAAAACCTTACATATATGTTCATACCTTTGTTTTGTATGTTTGGGTTAAAAACAATTTGATCAGCTTTAAGTCGGGACTGTAGGCTGTCCAACCTCATAGCTGAACCTCTGTCATGTAATTTTGAACCATTATTGGGGTGTGCTAGCTCACATTTGTTCGACAATAGTGATTATTATTATCCTTTTAGGAGAAAAAGTTGTCAAAATCGTCACGCCATCAGTTGAAAATATATCATTCGAACAAGAATATAACGAAGAAGAATTGGAACAATTAATAACGAATGTAAAAAACATGACAACATTATACGATCTACGATCCGAAGACTGGAACCCACAGTGCGAAGCCATTATAAGGTATAAAAACATTGCTTGAGCAACACAACATAAAATCACCACATTTCAGAACTTGGCTCACTGATACTTCTGAGCCATTACTGATGATATATTTCGACGGCGCCGACCTTTCAGCCGATACTCACGCACCCAATATCCCTATTATCGATGCATCGTATTTTCTACGAGAACCCGGATTCGTTTATACACAAGAGAATTTCTTCGACGAAATAATTTTCGGTACCATTGACGGTTCAATCGAAGGATCTCTTTTGCAAATTATCCAAAACGTTTACGCGCCGGTATTACTTCAGACACAGAATTGGCCAGACAGTGAGTATCCAAAGTATATAAATAGTAGACAACTAACAATTCTCAGGTGTCAGAAATGACTTCAAGCATTCGCTTCACATGTTCCTGGCCAAACTCACGGATCTTCATTACAAACTTCACGGGCTCACAGTGCTCTACGTACCAAGAACTATATATTCTATTCCCATTGAAGAGGCCAGCGAAGATAAGGAGTTTATCAAACGTATGGAAGGTGTGGTTGTTTATTGGACGAAACAGGTAAGGGTTGGACTTCAGGACCAGGAGCAAGCTACCACCGAAGACGTACGGTGTCCTATAGATGAGTATAATTTTTGGAGGAATAGATGTAAGAGGTTTTATTTATTTGAGTATAATAAATAGAACTTGGGAAGTGTTTTTTTTTAAGACGAAAATTTATTGGGGCTCAATTATCAGCTGGATAATAGAAATCTCAAACATCTCTGTAACATTTTATCAGCAGTGCAGTCGACTTACGTGAAACAGTTTAGGGTTTTAGCGGAAAAAATTATCCATAATGTGGAAGAAGCTAAATCTAATATAGAATATCTCAACGTTATTTTAGAACCATGCAAAGTAAGACTATAGAAATTTATTCAAAATATTTATTTGAGTTTGATTTTAAAATACGCAGAAATTGGATTCTCTGAGTTATCCGGCAGAGTATCCTGCGTTGATGCCGACAATTTTGAATCTGATTCGTTATATTTGGATGAAAAGCCCTTATTATAATACCAAGGAAAAAATTACTTTACTTATCAGGTGATATTTTTCTTCTCGCGTGTAAATTTTCCATTATTAGTGTCTAAGATTTTTAGGTCTTTGAGCAATCAAATCATCATGCAATGCACCAAATATATAGACATGAACGCCATATTCGGAGAAAAACAAACCAAAAAGTCCATACAAATGTTTGAAGTTTGTATAAATTGTTTGAATGAATATATTAAGACTTACGTTTTGGTATAAGAAAAAATACTTTGCAGTAGCGTAATATAATAATCATTCAAAATTTGTATTAGGTGTCTTCAGCTCACGAAGAATTCGATAATATTGCATGGGACTTGGATAAAGCCCCTATTTTCAATCACGTAGATTCGTACATTCAACGTTGTAAAGACATGATAGAAATTTGCGAAGCCATGGTAGTATTTGGCAGGTACGACGAAACAGAAAAGATTCCCAAACCCCTTTTTGGCACGTCAAAGGGGCAACAGTTTGAAAACTGGGCCGAAAAAATCGAAAAGATGTTCAACGACAGTTTGATTGATATTGAAAAGGTATTGTAGCAAATCCACCCAAGTACCCACTCTATTTATTAGTTAGATGGTAAATGGCGAGCGGTTCTATTTGATGTTAATTATTTCCTCGGGTTGCTACAAAATTAAGTGGTGAAGGGGGTCTATTCACTCACTGCCAATTTTCTTTATTCTTAGAATCTTACTATCAAATCAACTGCTGGATGTTATCTCTCTTTTTCTGATTGTAACCTGCTTAAATAGTACTCAATTCCCACCAAAAATCTGTTATGTGGGCGGTCATTTAGCAGTTCTCGAACCAATCCTCTTATTTGACCTCGTTTATCGAGTGATGAGTGGAGAATTCTTATTTTTAAGTTTTTATTAAAAATATGATGCAACATCCGGTGGAAACACCGGTATATTACTTGTATTAGTTTATAATTTTTTATAAAATAAAAAATTGTTATGTAATTTGAGTTGAGCTTAGAAATTTCGTCATTATTTTATTTATACTATTTTTATACAGAATTAGATGCTGGATTGCTAGGATTTATTAAGTTGAGTTTAAATTATCTTGCAACTGACGTAGGTACTTTTCTAATTAGAATGACTACAATACTATTTTCTGGGATTTTGGCACCTCGAAATTTTGCGGGCGCCACAGTATATTGAAACAACTCCCTGATAAATAAAACATCAATTAACTTAATTTCTTATAGATAAAATATCGTATTTTGGACGTGCAACAACCAGAATGGTATGATGATATACTCAAATTTCGGACCAGAATGAAGGAGCTTGAAGTAATTGTGGAAAACCTGACGAACGCAGTATTTGATGAAATTGCCAACGTGGAAGAAGGCATTGAATCCTTGGCCGCCTTGTACAATTATTCGAAAAGAAAAAGCTTGTATTCGTTGTTTGAAGCCAAAACCTTGATAGTTTACAAAATGTTTAGAGATGAAGTTTTGGAAACGAAACAAGATTGTCAAACTGAATCAGAGCTGTACCCTACCACTTTACCGTATCATTCTGGAAGAGCTACCATGTTAAAAATGAAGAAACACAGACTAATTATTTTAAAAAAGGTATACAATCCTTAAAATTTAGGTAATTAAGTTTAAAAAACAACAAAATTTGTTTTAGATGTTTGATGATGCAGGCTGGATGCTCCCTTGCAGTCTCTCTAAAGAAGTTTTCGCTCAACACCAAAAACTGATAACTTCAATTGACGAAAGGATATTTAATATGTATAGAAAATGGATTGATAGTCTAGGAGAGGATTTAAATCAAAGATTACATAGACCGCTTATGTGTAAAAGCATTTCTAAACCTGGATTAATTGAGTGCAATATTGACAGGTACTTGTATATTGTAAAGTTTCAAGTTTTTCACAATTTTTCTTGTAGATCTTTACTAGCATTGTTCAACGAAGCCAAACATTGGGAACGCTTAGGCTATGAAATTCCCACCTACATAAAATCCATCTACAATAAAGCAGACGGCATTAAATTCATTTATCAATGCGTTTTAAATATAGTCCTTGACTATAATAAAATAATAGCGTCTCTGTCCGATGAAGAACGATTACTTTTCAAACCATTGGTTACTAATGTTGAAAAAAAAATCGCACCTGGTTTGTCCAAGTTAACTTGGGCAACCGACATAGGAGACGAGTATATCGCCGAGTGCAGTAACAACACTGCCGAAGTAAGACCAACCAATTTCGCAAAATCCCAAGTTAAAATTGGCCGTTTCAGCTTCAAGATTTCGTGGACGATTACAAACAGTGCAACCTGAAAATCGTGCAAATTTGCGAAAAAGTCTGCGACACTCCGCTGATCCAATTGGGTCAGTACTCGGCTATGGATTTGCAGGATTTGGAGCAGGAACTTTCGAATAATAGGGAGAACACGTTGGCACTATTGATTGCTAATTATCATAAGATTATTGAATATTTGGTGATGGTTTTCGAAGGATTTGAAAGCGTTATGGGATTGGTAAGTTTTTGATTATTTTTCTTAAGCTAGTTCACTCTTTACATATTGAGATTGAAGAACTTCTTGGTATCTTATTGTTATAATTTTGGAAAGAAGTTTGTAGAAGATCGTCCTCTTTTTCAAAGAGTAGGTTTATAACTGTATTCTGCAAGACATCAAAAAGTAGGTAGATACCTACTCAGTTCTGGTCGTTTCATGGATTCTGGTATATAAATTTCCAACTTTCTATTGAGTCAACATTTAAAATTGCTCATCCTGGACCAAGTGGTAAACCACCCTTCGAATTTGTGCAAACAATTCCATCATCCAAGAGAAGTAATTGTGTTCCGTTTAGAGTGAGGACTCGTAGCTTCTTTCTTTTCGTAAACGGAATTAAGATCATTTTGCTGGGATTTATGGAAAATCCTTCTTCCTCACTCCAGTTTTTGATTATATCTGTAGCAAAACGCACTCAGGTACTGTGTTTGATTAGTTAGATGGTGAATGCCGAGTGGTATATTGGTGGTGTTTATTTCCTTGAGCTGCTACCTATAAAATTGTGGAGGGGGTCTATTCGCAAAAGAGAGAAACAAACTATTGAGGTTTACTAAATTATATTTTATTATACTTAAAACCAAAAATTTAATTAAGCAAATATCTTTCTATTCCGACAGCCACTTCTATTTTTCCCAATTCAAATTATTTCACATCCGTTCAAATTTCAGTATTACGAACCAGGAAATATCCATACAAAAAAAAAAACGCCTTTCTACTTCTATTCTTAATAGCTTATTAGTTTATACATTACAACACTTCCGATTCACTCCTATTAATATTACCCTTCACCTATATCTATAAATTCTTAAAATTCCTAAGTCCTTTACTGACTGCTTATGCAAAATAATTATTTAAGTCATAATCTGACTCACTGGATTAAGTATATAATATGTATTACTAACTATACTTTTATAAAAACCTTACAATAATTTCTACATGATTAAAACCTTAATTCAAAATTTCAGCACTTAATAAGGTAACAAGTTACTTCAGGAACAACAAGTTTCTTTTCACAACTTCCCATTACTTTTCAAAGATTCAATTAAACGTGTTTTTCCTGAGGCAAAAATAAAAGAAACTCTTCGCGAATTTTTTATCCGGACTGTAGACTTTAAACTGAACTGGACTGACTTAAAAAAACTGATCTCAAGACTTCTAAAACCGCTATATTTATATGTTTCGTCCCCCCAAAATTCCTAATTTCATCATTCATTTAGAGGATGATGCGATCTGTTCGAAATTTTTGTCATTTCTTTGTTTAAAACCGAATAATTATGTCGCAATTTCCTGGTTTATCGGGGTCAACAGATTTCGTATAAGAATGTCACAAAGAAGACCGACACACTTTCGCCATAAATCACCGATTTAAATAATTTGGACTCGCTTTTAATATTCTTATGGATTTGATTTAGATGACTAAATAATAAGAAATTAAACGTTTTTAAGATACTTTAATTAATCTGGGTCAATTTTTATTGGTTTCATTTTTAATTTATTGATATTGATGTTAATTATTAAAGATTCAGTTTTTGATTATTTGATTACATTTAATTTTTACAGTGAAGACATTGTAAATTACGGGTCTATTTTCCCGGGTCATTACATATTCAAGAAACTTTGCATTCGACCTGTTATAATTTCTTCATGCTTACCTCTGTTCTCTACCACCAGTGTCCACAGAAAGGGCAGCCCTTAGCCGTGGTGACAGTAACTGTTTCGCTGTTCGAGTTCGCCGATACTGAGTGATATTTTAGCATGGATTCCGTCCATCCTATGATGAGAGCTTCTATACCCCCCTATCTTCGAGAGCTTTTTTGATAGATTGGTGTAAGGTGTTATCAAAGACTAGGGTTTCCATAAAGGTTTTCTGGAATTCAGGACAAAGGAGTCAAGAATTCCGGAAAAAATCCGGACTTCGCCGAAATAGCTATTTATGCAACAAGTGTGTAAATAGTGAACTTTTTTTCTCGAATATGAAATTATTGAAATTACACGCACGAGCCGAAGGGACACACGTATTGCATGCAATTTTTTTTCCTCTACCAATAAAATATGTGGACAGAAAAATAATTAGACAAATTTCACTTGACGCACTAGTGCACGTTACTAGAAAAAAATGACAGTGTCGACATCTGTCATTGACTTACACTAGTGTGTAAAAGTGGATTACTTATCGTAGGTACTGTGCGTGAAGTGAAATTTTACGTCTTTTGAATAGGGCGTGAAGTGAGTACTTTACGCACCGTAGTAGAAAATAGTTATTTATGCAACAAGTGTGTAAAAAAGGTGCTTTACGCACGTATTGCATACAAAATTTTTTCTACTACCACTCAAATATGTCTAAAAATTAAATTTAGACAAATACTTCACGCACTAGTGTGTAAAGAATTTTTACTTCACACACTAGTGCGTGAAGTAATTCACCAGAAAAATGCCAAATTGACAGTGTCAACATCTGTCATTGACATTACTTTACGCACTAGTGTGTGAAGTGAATTACTTTACGCACTAGTGCGTGAAGTGAAATTTTACGTCTTCTAAATAGTGTGTAAAGTGAATACTTTACGCACGGTAGTAGAAAAAATAATTTAAAATTTATTTGAAGGATGAATTTTGTTTATTTATCGCAAAATAGTACATTGTGTATCAAGGACGGAAAGGAGTCGAAATTGCTTTCCGCCTAGGGTGCTCACAGTACTTTTTGAGCGACCTTCTTGGAAACAATTTTGATAAGAATCATTTATGATAAATTGAAAAGATATTGAGATTGATTGAAAATCAATACCTTGTCAAACTGTCAAATTCAAATTGACAGCATTCCCGCCTCCCGCCCGGCTAGGCGGGCGGAAATGTTCTTGTTTGCCCGGCTGTGAAATGCGCATGCGTGACAGTCAGCGGGCTGCAATTTTCAATTTTCTGCCCGCTTGACATGCACATGCTTCAAAGAGTCGCGTTATTGAGTAGGTTGCGCAAAATTACATTTCTGGAGAAATTAATAAATAGGTAACCGTAAAATATTTTTTCTACCACTGCTGTAGAAAGCTATTAAAAACGCACTTTTAATTTGCCTAGAAAATCAATTATTTCGCACTGTGTGCGAAAAGTACTTTTCACATTCTCCGACGGTGCGAAAAGTACTTTCCACACGCTCTAGAGCGTGTGAAAAGTACTTTTTGCACGTTAAAATAAAAATGACATGTTTTTGTTCTGCAAGAAAATCTGAGTGCATTCAACGTACGTACCAACATTGTTCGTTTCATAGCCTCCTCAAATAATAATTTTTCAACAAAAAAATAAATACATAAATGAATCTCGATGTGAATATACATCGTTAGAGTTATTTCGCAGTCGTAGAAAAAGTATAGAGTGTAACGCGTGTGAAAAATGAGAAGTGCTATTTTCAACACTTGTTGCACAATATAAACTAGTCAAAACGAAATAAGGACCACTTTTGAAAACCCATTTATTTTTAATGAATTTTGAATAACCCTGGTAAAGTGTTTATTTCCATTCACGATATAAATTTTTTGTGCACACTTTATTTGTTCATCTATGCTTATTGTAAATGAAAATAGTCACTTTACCAGGGTTATTCAAAATTTAATGAAAACCTGCTCTTAAAAGTGGTCCTTATTTCGTTTTGAGTAGTATATGTACTATAACAAAGTTATAGGTTGTTTTCACGAACTCCAAGTTTTCCGGACATTGTTCTGAATTCCGGCCGGACTTACCCGGACACCCCCAAAACTCAAACATGTCCGGGTAAATCCGGACGTATGGAAACCCTATCAAAAACACCCTCTATACCTATAAAAGCTGCGATTTCTTTTGCCACGAGTGACTTTTCTACGTCTGTTACTAGAAAATGGAGTGCACTTGTTGAGGATTTGCCTACTTGAAAAGCAAATTGTCTTGAATAAAACGGTGTCTTATTTAGAAATTCGCTTCTAATATATTGATCTATTACTTTCTCCATGCTGGATTTAGGGAGAAAGGATGTTAGGCTGATGGGTCGATAGGATTTTGGTTAATCTTCTGGGCTAGTGGAACGTAGCCCAGGGTGAGGCTAGATTTGAATATCTTGTGATAAGAAATGTATTTTTCTATTTTCATTACGCTCAGTGTCAATAGGTACCTTCTTCCAATTTACCATAAATTCCCCATAAATTCCTCTAAATTCCCCACATTTTTGGCAAAGAATTCCTAGGCGGTTTTTTCCTTGTCGTGGATCAAATACTGGAAAATATGAGGTTGATGACTGACTATTTAATATTTTGTCTTTAAAAATTATTGTTATTTCGTTTTCATATACAACCACTAACCCGTTCTTCCAGGTTGCTCTCAATTTTGTGTAGGTATTTTTTTAGTTCTATTCAATTCTTTACATTAGGTATGTGACGGTTTTCTTTTCTATTCAGTGAGTTTCACAGTACCTGGATTAATTTACTTCATAGTATTATCTATCCACAATCTGTAGTCCAAAGGTCACTGGCGGCTCGTGACTATTTCAAGTGACGAGGCTAAAAAATAGTAAATTACGGTAAGGTAACCACTGTGCAGCAGGCAAAAATTGTTTTGGGGTGCCGATAACCTCAATAATTTATCTCAAATTCAATAAAAACCATGAATACTCGAGAAAATGTTCCTTTTCTTCATGTAAATATAGATTTTCAGAGTTAATTTTGACGAAAAATAAAAAATACAAGGAAGGTACAAATTGATAATTATGATTAATTACGATAATAATCATGTTCTTTCTGCAACTAGAAAAGTATTATAGAACTCCTAATGCATAAAAAAGGGATAAAAAAAGCAAGGATAGCAGTTGTCAACTATGCGCGCGGCTAGCCGCTCTTCGAGACTATGATCGCTAAACGTCAATAGTAGTTCGATATATTTCCGGCATTTCTATTGGACGCTCAGATCCGCGGTCCATTTGAATGCTAGATTTCAGTGAAGCATGTGAGAATCTAGCCTCCAGTCGACCTCTAATGTCAGAATAATTGCAGGACGGGAATTCTGACAAAGTGACCTTTTGTCGAGTACCCACAATTTTTTTCTGGTCAAAATCGAAATTTCCTTTTTCATTTTTTTCCGGCCTTAAGAGGGGCGTCAGATAAGAGCCAGCGCGTCATCTTTAAGGCTATATGACATACATTAAATATTTTTTAATCACAGTTGTTCAAATTCTTAGTGGGTTAAATAACTATTAGCCCTTCGGGCTCGCGTATAACTCCGGCCCTTCGGGCTCGCGTATAACGCCCTTTGGGCTCGCGTATAACTCCGGCCCTTCGGGCTCGCGTATAACTCCGGCCCTTCGGGCTCGCGTATAACTCCGGCCCTTCGGGCTCGCGTATAACTCCGGCCCTTCGGGCTCGCGTATAACTCCGGCCCTTCGGGCTCGCGTATAACTCCGGCCCTTCGGGCTCGCGTATAACTCCGGCCCTTCGGGCTCGCGTATAAGTATAGCCGGAGCTATACGTGAGCCCGAAGTAGTATTACTGAGTATCCCAGATTCACAGACTGAGATTGAGTTTTCAGTTTTTTGGGGGAGACTTAGCCTCTCCTGCCTCCTCTGAAGAGCCGCTACTGCCAAAAGTACAGGTAACATGTATCACCTTTCAATGCTATTTGATAGGAAAAGGTGATAAATTTACCTGTACCTTTGGACTACAGATTGTGAATAGGATATAGTTTGAATACCTATATAGAATTTGATACATTGATATTTATATTAATAGATGTCAGGTCAATGGTTGAAGTACATCAACAATTTCGACCATTTAATGGAAGAAGCATTGAAAATTTGCTGTAAAAATTCTCTATTGTGCATGTACGAAGCTTTACACGGAGACGGTACCACCGATCCTAATCCTCTAATAAAAATCAACATCAATTTAATAGGAAACAAGGTAATATTTGGAGATTTTTTTTTTCAAAATGAACATCTCATATTCCCATTCAAGATCAACTTTGACCCAACCCTCAATAGCGTAAACAAATTGATAAATAACATCCAAAATACCCTTGTGGAATCCGTAAAGGCTTTGCCAAGATTGAATGACAAATTTCACGTTGCCGATACAAATTACATCCCTTATGCTGATTTAATTTACAACGACGAAGATTGCACGAACGTACAGCAAGATTTAAGCAGAGGTAATCAACAAGAAATTCCACACGCTTTAAACTATACCCCTAATTTTTAGAAGTAAAAGTTGCTATAGAGAAAATAAGAGAATACATTAAAACCTGGGAACCGTTTAATGAACTATGGGAAGTGGACAAAGACAAGTAAAAAATTGTCTCTATAATAAATTATTATAATTCAAAACAATTTACTCAGATTTATAGAGCATTACGAACGCGAAGAACCCAGTGCAGCTCTATTCGATGCCAATATTGGACGTTACACCGAGTTGGCAAACAACGTCCAAATTCAGGAGACAGTTTCGGACGTCCATTTCCTTCAAATCAACTGCGCCGAAATGAAGAAAGCCATCATAGATCATTGTATCGAGTGGCAAGACAAAATGTGCATGCTTCTGTTCAAGTTGACCAAAAGGAAAATTGACGATATTTACGACTACATGGAACGAAATACTAAACAGTAATTTGAAAATTATATTATCACTAGTGTTGTTAATTATTATTTTCTAGGGCCAATCACGAGCCAGAAGACTTGGACCAGATGCAATTCTCTCTTCAATTCTACGCTACGCTTAAACTCGAAGTTCCTATGCAAGAAGAACACTTTCCTCAAATCACCGAGCAAATATACACTCTGGATAAATATTCGGTGCCGATACCTGCACCAATGCGTAAAAGGCACAAAAATTTGCTCAAAGAATGGGCTCTGTATTTAGAGTCTTTGGAACAGGCTGAACACATGTTGGAGTATTCCAAGGTACTGATGGGAAAGCCCTAATCAGTTCCGATCCTTTTATAATTTTTCCTTTTGTTATTCCTTATTTATCCTTTCCTAGGAACATTTCAAAAATAATCTGCTGGAGCAAGCGGAAGGAGCACGACAAAATGCTAAAACTTTGTTGGACGAGTTTATTATCAAAGGTAATTTTTTTGAGTCTTTTTCTTGCCTAGATGTATGCCACCCATAATTTTTTCTACAACGCAAATAAATTCCTGTATTGGAATTCAAGAGGGTGCTCAGAACACTTGATAGTTTGTTGTTTGTGGTTATAGATCGTAGTATTGCCACATGTTTCCCTGGTGACCCGCACCATTCCACTTGTTAGAATAAAGCCGTTTACTTATGAGCTCATGACTCAACATGTTGAGTACTAGTGAACGCGACCAATGAACTAGTAAGAAGATTTGGAACAGCCCCTTGCCTATCTAGGTACTCAATACGTATATTCGCGGCCAAGGTTAAAGTAAGAGATCGGAGAGATCTGTGAGATTTTCTACCGACTAGCGCTATCCAGTGGCGGCTCGTCAGAGGAGGCAGGGGAGGATAAATCTCCCCCAAAAAATTGAAAATTCAATCTCAATTTTTTATTCCTGATTTCTAATTAAAATAATAATTCACAAATTACACTTTCCAAATTTCGATATTTCAATGTAATTTAGAAAAATCTGACAACATTATTTCAATCAATCCCGCGCCTCCACGACAAAAATCTGTGAATCTGGGATACTCAGTAATACCGGCCCGAAGGGCCGGAGTAATACGAGCCCGAAGGGCTAGAGTTATATGCGAACCCGACGGGCTACAGTTATTTTAATCATGGGGCTCAGTCTATAATTCTATTGGTCAGCGGATAATTTAAAGCCAATTAAAAACCGGGAGTATTTGAAATGCGATTTTTAGCGTCCGATCAAAGAGTCGGGAATATTCAAAAACTTTAGTTTTATCAAATTGACTTTGGAATGTTGATTTTCTATGGGGTTTTCTTAAGATTTTTACTTCTTTCAGAAACCGGTGGTTTTTGCAAACATATACTACTTTATCGTTGTCTTTGTCTTACTCACTATAATTAATAAAGAAACTTTGTAATGTCATTTTCATTGAAATTAAATTAAAAACAAGTTTCCTATGATTTATTTGGGGAATTTTAATTATCATAATCATTATTAATTAATTATTAAATTGAATTTTAAACAAAAAACCCTTTTAAAATGTTATTTTTGTTTTCCGAGATGAGATGTGGCAACGTCGTTGCTATTAGTTGGCCATTTTGAAGTGACGTCTTGTGATTTTTTGTCAGTTTTTTCTCGAATTTTTGACTTTTCCGGGGTTTTTTATTAGAAAAAAGCGATTTAACATACGAGATTTTGAGTTTTCTTCATTTTTTAGTAAAAATTCTAGTTTTAAATGCCATAATTAGCAAAATCCCATTTAAAATGCTTTTGGTGTGGCAACATCGCTTGTGGCTAAATTCAATCAAGGAAGCATTTTTGACAGTCGGCCATTTTCAATTAACGTGTTTACATTTTTATTCAGTTTTTCTTCGAATTTTCACTTTTCCGGGGCTTTTTCAGTTGGGAAAACTGATTTGAAGTACAAGGCTTTGAGGTTCTTCATTTTCCACCAAAAATTTCCAGTGTTTTAACGGGGTAAGTGAGAAAAACTTTAGTTTTATCAAGTAGGTTTAGGAATTTCATTTTCGTTGGTTTCCGGGTTGGGTCCGGGGATCGTTTTCCACCACTTTTCCTCTCGAAATTCGCCAAAAAAAAAAAAAACTTTTTTGACGTTGACAGCTGTCAATTTTTTTTGTCACAAATCGATAGTTGGCGTCGTGAAACTGCCTTGTACCGGGGTTTGATTTTCGTAGCTTTTATAGTAGAGCGGGGAAAAAATCGAACATGTGTCAAATTTGACAGGTGACAATATTGCCAAAGTGTCGTGCGACAAAAGTTTTATCCGAACGAACCCGTTCATTGTTAACTGATTTTAATACTCCGGCCCTTCGGGCCGAAATCTTTGAAACAAAAAGACGTCATTTTGTATCAATTGTCAAAAAAACTACTTTGAAATTTCAATGTTTTGACGTTTGTTGTATCATGAGCAGTGTTGCCATATGTTTTTCTTTCAAATCTTGAGCTCGAAGGGCCGAAATTATAGATTATTTTAAAGCCAATCAAGAGCCGGGAATAAATAAAATTCGAATCCCCAAACCAATCAGGAGCCGGGAAAATTCAAAAATTCGAATTCCAAACCCGACGGGAAATTGTATTTTTTGTACCAACTGTTGCTACATGTTGTTACATAAAACCCACTAAAAAACGACTTGTTTTCTAACCTTTTTTTTTTGGAAAAAACAAAAGATTTTTTTTTTTTGAGATTGACAGCTGTCAAAATTTAAAAAAACCTACATGGGCATATAGATTTAACTTCGGCGAATACGTAGGAAGTACCAATTTTTTTTTAACATATGTCAAAAAAGACGTTCGGCGTTGCCAGGAGGTTGGTTTTTAACATATATCGATGAAACTTCTTATTTTAGGATTTTCGGAGCCTGGGGATCGTTTTCTGACATTTGCTTTTTGAAAAAAAGAAAAGGTAAAAATTTTTGACATTGACAGTTGTCAAAATTTAAAAAAAAAAACCACATAGGCATATAGATTTAGCCTCGGCGAATACGTAGAAAATAGCAAAACAGGGGACCGGCCAATTTTTTGACGTTTGTTGTATTATAAGCAGTGTTGCCATATGTTTTTTTTCGGGGTACGGAAAAAAGGTCGAATTACAAAATGTCGAATTATCACAAAATATCGAATAGCAAAATGTCGAAAATACAAAAGGTTGAAAATACAAAATGTCGAATAAATAAAGGTCGAAAATATATAAGGTCGAATAAAAAAATGTCGAAAATAAAAAAGGTCGAATAACAAAAGATCGAATACCAGAAGGTCGAAGATACACTAGGTCGAATTACAAAAGCTCGAATAGCAAATAGTCGAAAATACAAAAGGTCGAAAAACAAAAAGTCGCAAATACGAAAGGTCGAAAAAACAAAATGTCCAAAATACAAAAGGTCGAAAATACAAAAGATCGGAAATATAAAAGATCGAATGAGAAAAGGTCGAATAACAAAAAGTCGAGAACAAAAGGTCGAAAATACAAAATATCTCGTTGGGGAGGTAAGTTTATAGGTTAGTTTGGGTCAGATTGGGTTAGTTTGCGTAAGTTCGATTTGCGCATTATAGCGTTGGGGAGGTAAGTTTATAGGTTAGTTTGGGTTAGTTTGTGTTCGCTTGTGTTAGTTCACTTTATTTAGCAGCCCTTCTCATTTTACTAGTCTTGTATATCCAAATTCCAATTTATCTCGCTCGGACCCGTAATTTTCTCCTTCGAATTTGAAGGTCGGAGTTTTTATTTTTATTTTAGTAAGGCAAAAAAACGTCAATATCCGCATCTAAATTGAAGCAAAAACATTTTTATAAACGATATAACAACTAATTTTTATCGAAAATATGTTAATTTTTGAAAGTGTCCTCCCTGATGTTTCACTATAGAAATTTACGGGATCGGGAAGTAAATAGGAGTGCATGGGTCAGAAACGAAGATTGGGTTAATTACAAAAGTGTACAGAGCGAGGTACAAGGTTTTGTTTAGTCAGCGTTAGTCAAGGCGTTAGTATGTGGTAAAGAAAGTAGAAAGAGAAAAAAAATTGTACTTTCGACTTTTCATAATCTTGACAACTTGTATTTTCGATCTTTTTGAATTTCTACCTTTTAAAATTCGTACTTTTGTATTTCGATCTTTTGTATTTTCGACATTTTGTATTTCGACTATTTGTATTTTCGACATTTTGTATTTTCGACATTTTATATTTTCGACATTTTGTATTTTCGATCTTTTGTTATTCGACCTTTTGTTATTCGACCTTTTATTATTCGACCTTTTGTTATTCGACCTTTTATTATTCGACCTTTTCTCATTCGATCTTTTGTATTTTCGACCTTCTGTATTTCGATCTTTTGTATTTTCGACATTCTGTATTTCGACCTTTTGTATTTTCGACCTTTTGTTATTCGAACTTTTCTCATTCGATCTGTTGTATTTTCGACCTTTTGTTTTCGACTTTTTGTATTTCGACCTTATGTTTTCGACATTTTTTCCGGGACTCTTTTTTTTCGAATCTCGATTTTGGAAGGCTGAGGTTATTTCAATTATGAGCTCAAAGGGCCGAGGTTATACGAGTCCGAAGGGCCGTAATCATGCGAACCTGAAGGGCCGGAGTTATACGAACCCATTTATTGTCAACTGATTTTAATACTTCGGCCATTCGGATCGTAATCTTTGAAACAAAAAGACGCCATTTTATATCGACTGTCAAAAAAACCAAGGCCTACTTTGATATTTCAATTTTTTGACCTTTGTTGCATCATGAGCAGCGTTTCCATAGAATTCACAATAAATTTTAATTCCTCTCGAATTACGTGAAATTTCAGTGAAATTCCGATCGAATTACACGAAATCCTAAATGAATTACATGGAGGAATTTTAAACAATTACATGAAATTACACCAAAATCCCCAACATGAAATTTCAGTTTTTACCGAATTTTAGTAATACCGAGGAATTTCCAGCTAAAAACATAAAATTTCGGTGATATTCCGAAAAATTCCCATGTAATGACATGAAATTTCGGTAAATTTTTAAGAAATTACTTGAAACTTCATTAATATTCCCAGAAATTCCTGGCTATTAAAAAAGAATTTTAGTGAAATTCCGGAAAATTCTTATGAAAATAAATTAAATTTTGAAAAATTCCTTGAAGTTTCATTGGACTTTCGAAAAATTTTCGGCTATGAACGTGGATATTCTCAATGACTTTTAATGAATTCCGAGGAATTTTTTATGAAATTTTTGTGGAATTCCAGGATATTTCAGTGGTAAAATTTTGAGGAAATTTAGTAAAGTTAAAAAAAAAAAAATATGGAATTTTGAAATTGAAATCTTAATGGAATTCCGAGGAATTTCATGAAATCCTATACTGCAAGTCCGAAAAAATTTTGTCGAAGAATTCCATAAAATCTTCTAATGAAATGTTAAGGTATTTCTATGGAATTACTTAAAATTTTCGCGGAATTCCTATGGAATAACTTAAAATTTTAATGGCATTCCAAAGAACTTTGATGAAATCTTCGAGAGGTTAATCACTCCCCGAAATCGTGTCACAAATTCGTCCGAAATCCACGAAATCACTCCGAAATCCCTTCGGAATCTTTCAGAAATCTTTCCGTAAATTCAAAAATCCCTCGTAATTGGCTCAAAATTCATAAATGGGCCAACGCGGTCGTTTTTCAGATTATACTGATACACTTTTGAATATATAAGATAAGTAATAGTCTGAAATTAAATTTAAATATTTGCGAAATCACCTGAAATTCTCCGAAATCCTTCGAAATCACCCGAAATCTTTCGAAATCACCCGAAATCCTTCGAAATCAACCGAAATCCCTCAAAATCGCTCTAAATCTGAAATCTTGTCACAGTGAATAATCCCTCGAAATCCTATTTTTCACTCGAAAAAATTCGAAATTTTGGGAAAATGAGCCTTTAACCTTTTTCCTCCAATGCAAAAAGTTTCAAAATTTTTTCCTCGCTAGCGTTCCAGGAAAACTTTGAAATGTGTGAGACTGTATTTTCAATTAACTCATTTATTGGAGGTTGATTTCCAAGATTCTTTATGTTGTCATTTTCCACTAGAAAAATGTGAAATTTTGGGAAAATAAGCCTCTGATCTTTTTCTTTACATGCAAAAAGTTTCAAAATTTTCCCTTAATTAGTTTTCCCACGAGTTTTCCAGGAAAACTTTGAATTGCGTGAGACTGTATTTTCAATTAATTCAGTTTGTGTTTACACCTATCATCTACCTATAAAGGTGGGGTGTCAAATTATAACCAGACACCCTGTACTTTCCAATATTTTGTATGCCCCCCCCCCCCTTAATTTGGGTCTGGATCCGCGCCTGATTTGGGCTGGAAATTAATTAAATATCATCTTCCTTATCTTACCTTTGCTTCAAGAATTGTCTTGGCTTGGTTGTTTTATTTGGATTTTCCTCGAGAAGTTGAGAACCACTTTGTGGGATTTTATAGTTGAAACTGGATGAGTACTACTTCACGTTTTTTTTTTTTATGGCAAATTCCTTTCCTTATTCTTGCCTTCGTTCTAGTTGAAGAGACAGGATCGGATTCTTAGAGTTACAACCACCCTTGGTATGGGATTCTCTAAAAGGAATTCAAGCTTTTATAAAAATCTGATCTAATTCCTATAACTTTGCTTTTAATCAATTGAAAGTAGTTCTTCTGTGGACCTGCGAAGAGACATATCAGAATTTCCAATAATATTCCTGGAAATGGGAACCTTCATGGAAGTCCTGTCTCGTAAGATACTTAATTTATGACTGAGATGGGACCTTGGTTTCCCTGATGTGGCAACCATGACTGAGATGGGGCACTGGTTCCCCTGATGTGGTTACCATAACTCACCTGATAATTGTTTCTCTGAGTCACTGATCTGGAGGCCATTTGCATATTTTGATCCTTTACTAGAACTAAATCTCCAATTTTGAGTGAATCCTGGTGATTCTTCCACTTGTAACGCTGCTGAAGTTGATGGAGATAGTTATTTGTCCAGCTCTTCCAGAAATCTTTTTTAATTTTCTGAACTAGTTTCCATTTTCCAACAACGTCCTAGTTTATGTTTGTAGTTATTGGATCGGGAAGAGATATAATTTCTCTTCCAATTAGAAAATGACCTGGAGTTAATATTGCTAATTTATCTGGATCATTTGATAATGGGCACAGAGGTTGAGAGTTAAGGCAAGCGCCAAGCCTCTATTTGGTGAGTTAATGTAGTCATTTCTTCATAAGTAAGTGGTGTATCGCCAATTATTCGTTTTAATTGTTCCGGTTCTTCAATCATTCCTGAACGCTGGTTTTTTGGACTGTTGTAGTCTAAACGAATCGACGTGTAAGTACATATGATAAGACTTTGAATTTTGGGCAATGCTAAATCATGTGGGCTTCATTGCAGTACTTGCAAGCATCAGTACTTCTGGGTTTTGTCATTAATGTTTGAGTCGGGGCGAATTTTCTTCTGTGTATCTGAAATTGCTTCTAGTGATTGAAATCTTGCTTGAAGAAATGTCCTTATTTCAAGAAAGTCCTGTATTCCATGGGGCTTGCTTAGTGATTGTTCATGAACCTTGTTGGTTTCATGATCCCATTTTCGGCAGATGACACAACTGTATTGTGAAGTTGTCTAATCTTGAATGATGATTCGTGATCAATTACTGGAAGATCTAAGATCCTATCTAGTAGCTTGGAGACTATAAGTCTATCGTTGATGTATCTGTCATTGAGAATATTCCAGCAGGGTTTCTGCTATAGACAGGTGCTGGATCAGTCTTTCTGCTTCCCCTCTCACATGCATTTATAGATACTGCATTTTCTCTATTGTCGTAATTGTTGGATTTTTATGAACCACTTTGATGAAAATGTCTCGAAATGTGACTTTTTTCTGCAGGTCCATTTACATCCGATTGGTCGGTAGAAGAAGGCCTAGCCTATTTATCCGCTATGAGGGTGACACTAAAAAATATGAAAGAAAGAGACGAAAAACTACGTGCAGATTTAGCCATATTTGGACTCAGCTACGACGAAAGTGTAGATCTATCGAAATTGGATAGTGTAAGTTAAACTTATTTTGCTCTCTCGTCTCTAGTAAGAAATTTTAGGAACTATCATCGCTAGAAGCGGTTTGGGACTTGGCTGCTCAATGGGACACCGCCTGGAACAATTACAAAACGGGACAATTTTGGGCGATCGAAACACACGAAATGGAAGAAACAGCTCAAGTTTTATTTAGAAAATTAACTAGATTATCTAGAGAATTAGCAGAGAAAAAGTAGATTTTTTACTTACATTTATTTTTAAAAAATTATATCAATTCCTATAATAGTTGGAAAATTCTTGAAGATGTTAGATCACAAGTGGACGCTTTCCGAAGAACCTTGCCACTTTTGGGCGATTTAAAAAACCCCGCGATGAGACCGAGACATTGGGAAAAAGTAAAAACGGCCATAGGAATGGATTTCGATGAATCCAGCCCGGAATTCAATCTGGAAGCAATTTACGCTATGGAAATGCACAAGTAAGAAATCAAAATTCTTCAAATATATTTTTCAAATATTGTAACTATATATAGATTTGCTGAGGAAATAGGTGAAATTTCTAATGCGGCCACAATGGAGCTTCAAATTGAAAAAGGCCTAAAAGCTATAGTTGAAACTTGGAGTAATATGAAAATTGAAATTGTTCCTCACAAAGACAGAGGATGTTATAGGTATTTTCCCTGAGATATTTTATTTAATCTATCATAATTGTTTTTATATATAGAATTAAAAGTGTAGATGACTGTTTCCAAGCCTTGGAAGAAAACATCTTACAATTATCCACAATGAAAAGTACAAGATTTGTAGAACCCTTTACCAAAGTCGTAGACTATTGGGAGCGGACTTTGTCGTATGTCATGGAAACTTTAGAGATTGCTTTGCAAGTACAACGTCAATGGCTCTATTTAGAAGTAAGTTATCCAAAAAAATTTTGCTTCTCTATTAAAGATTGCTTTGTAGAATATATTCTTTGGTGAAGATATCCGTAGGCAGTTGCCAAAAGAAAGCGAAGATTTCGATTTGATGACCGACGACTGGCGAAATATTTCGACGAGACTTTACTTTTCGAAAACCGCCCTCAAAGCCACCCATTACAAACCTGCGCCCTATTTGTTTCACAAATTAAACCGAATGAACGATAAACTTGATATGGTGCAGAGGGCATTAGAGAAGTACACTTTTAATTAAAAGTTTTCAACATCAACTGATTTTTTGTTGCAGGTATTTAGAAACCAAACGCCACATTTTTCCACGTTTTTACTTCATTTCAAATGACGACATGCTGGAAATATTGGGCAACTCGAAAAAACCCGAGCTGGTCCAGCAACATTTGAAAAAACTTTTTGATAATTTGACAAAAATAAAAATACAAAGAAATCAAGGTAAAATATCATTTTTATATGTATTATTATAGAAGTAAATGTTTGCTTTTCTATAGCTATCAACAAACAGGAATGCGTGGGAATGTTTTCGGACGATGGAGAATACGTAGAATTCGTTCGGCCGTTTATTTTGGAAGGCGCAACCGAAAATTGGCTTCTGGAATTGGAAATTGCCATGAGAACGATACTAAAGTACCAGTTCAAGCCTTGCCGAACCGAATTGAAGAAAAACTTGAACAAACGAGACAAATGGCTTTTGGCTAACTGCGGACAACTATGCAACGCTTGTAGCTTGGTAAGAATTAGTTGTTTAATAATTGCAGAAAATTATTGGTTACATACGTTCAAATTTTAAAAACAAGCGCGTGTCATCACTTTTAACTCATTAATCAAAACCAGGCAAAAGTAATTAAATTGGTGATTTACGGCCGACACGAGTTATCGGCATCCTTTTGTTTTATTGATTTATATTTCTTCATATGCTTTTCCCATTTCGTTGACCCCTAATAATCATGCAATTTTGAAATCATCCGATGAGCATTGAGCAAGTTATATTTTTTGAGATAATATCTAGGTCGACCAATAGAATTGAATTTACAGATGGTCAACATATTGTCGATTATGGTGGGTAAATAATAGTTTAAAAGGGACGACATTCAAGTAGAGAAGCAATCAATTATCGAAAATTAGACTCAAAAATTAGTAGTATTCAGAAGTGGCGAATTATCTCAAGTATAAAAACTCGCGTGATTAGAACGACTCGGTCTACGACCTCGTCGTTCTAATCTTTTACAAACGCACTTGTAATGTAAATAACTATAAAAATATTGTACCTAACTTAGTAGGGCTATATGAAAGTGTTATTAAAGTACAAGGCTTTTTGATTGCATCATTTGATTTACAAGCTCAGAGACAGTGTAGAGGTGGCTGTACGAATGCATTACTTATGATGAATTTGGTGGATATACAGGACAATAAAATTCCTGTGAAAGGTGTGGCAGAAATAACTGTGATGTCTGTATGTACGCTTTTGAGAAGGAAATCCAAATGTATTGTGGCGACCCCAAAAATTTCGAGGTGCTAAAATCCCAGAAACTATAACTAAACTCAATCGGTAAAAGCATTTTTGTAGTCATTTTAATTAGAAAGTACCTACGTCAGTTGCAAGATAATTTAATCTCAACTTATTAAATCTCCTAGCAATCCAGCATCTAGTTCAGTATAAATAAAAAATGACGAAATTTCTAAGCTCAACTCAAATAACATAACAATTTTTTTCTAACACAAGCGATAAGCGACCGGATGTCAGAGTTCGATGTCTTCAATTAATAGACTCTTGCGACATTCCGATAGAAAAAAAAAGTCAATAAAAAATTATAAAATTAGGACGCGTTTAACCGGAAATCACTATACTCATGTGATTTAATTGTGTCATAACTTATAAACTACAACATCGGTGTTTCCGCCGGATAATACATCATATCCTAAATAAAAACTTACAAAAAAAAAAAAAAAACAATTCTTGGAAAACAACAATGTCGTTTATCAGGTGATAAACGAGGTCAAATAAGAGGATTGGTTCGAGAAATGCTAAATAACTGCACACGTAACAGATTTTTGGTGGGAATTAAGTACTATTTAAGCAAATTACAATCAGAAAAAGGCAGATAACATCCAGCAGTTGATTATATAGTAAGATTTTAAGAATCAGATTCCAGGAATTCAAATATTGGATTGTTACTACACCGTTTTTGTCTAATTTTAAATTGTGAGTTAGGAGTGTAGTATAATGGCAACTGGATAGTTAGGGCTTTAATTCAGAGTTTTAATATGAAAGGATTTAGTATTGAGGAAGTGTTAGAAAAGGGAATTGTTTAATGTGTAACCAACAAAATGAGGAACGAGTTATAAAATTCAATATCCTAAATAAAAACTTACAAAAAAAAAAAAAACAATTCTTGGAAAACAACAATGTCGTTTATCACTCGATAAACGAGGTCAAATAAAAGGATTGGTTCGAGAAATGCTAAATGACCGCCCACGTAACAGATTTTTGGTGGGAATTAAGTACTATTTAAGCAGGTTACAATCAGAAAAAGGGAGATAACATCCAGCAGTTGATTTGATAGTAAGATTTTAAGAATCAGATTCCAGAAATTCAAATATTGTATTGTTACTACACCGTTTTTGTCTAATTTTAAATTGTAAGTTGGGAGTAAGTATAATGGCAACTGGATAGTTAGGGCTTTAATTAAGAATTTTAATATGAAAGGATTTAGTATTGAGGAAGTGTTAGAAAAGGGAATTGTTTAATGTGTAACCAACAAAATGAGGAACGAGTTATAAAATTTAATATCCTAAATAAAAAGTTACAAAAAAAAAAACAATTTTTGGAAAACAACAATGTCGTTTATCACTCGATAAACGAGGTCAAATAAGAGGATTGGTTCGAGAAATGCTAAATGACCGCCTACGTAACAGATTTCTGGTGGGAATTAAGTACTATTCAAGCAGGTTACAATCAGAAAAAGGGAGATAACATCCAGCAGTTGATTAGATAGTAAGATTTTAAGAATCAGATTCCAGGAATTCAAATATTGGATTGTTACTACACCGTTTTTGTCTAATTTTAAATTGTAAGTTGGGAGTGTAGTATAATGGCAACTAGATAGTTAGGGCTTTAATTAAGAGTTTTAATATGAAAGGATTTAGTATTGAGGAAGTGTTAGAAAAGGGAATTGTTTAATGTGTAACCAACAAAATGAGGAACGAGTTATAAAATTCAATATCCTAAATAAAAACTTACAAAAAAAAAAAAAAACAATTCTTGGAAAACAACAATGTCGTTTATCACTCGATAAACGAGGTCAAATAAGAGGATTGCTTCGAGAAATGCTAAATGACCGCCCACGTAACAGATTTTTGGTGGAAATTATGTACTATTTAAGTAAGTTACAATGAGAAAAAGGGAGATAACATCCAGCAGTTGATTTGATAGTAAGATTTTAAGAATCAGATTCCAGGAATTCAAATATTGGATTGTTACTACACCGTTTTTGTCTAATTTTAAATTGTGAGTTAGGAGTGTAGTATAATGGCAACTGGATAGTTAAGGCTTTAATTAAGAGTTTTAATATGAAAGGATTTAGTATTGAGGAAGTGTTAGAAAAGGGAATTGTTTAATGTGTAACCAACAAAATGAGGAACGAGTTATAAAATTCAATATCCTAAATAAAAACTTACAAAAAAAAAAAACAATTCTTGGAAAACAACAATGTCGTTTATCACTCGATAAACGAGGTAAAATAAGAGGATTGGTTCGAAAAATGCTAAATGACCGCCCACGTAACAGATTTTTGGTGGGAATTAAGTACTATTTAAGCAGGTTACAATCAGAAAAAGGGAGATAACATCCAGCAGTTGATTTGATGTAAGATTTTAAGAATCAGATTCCAGGAATTCAAATATTGGATTGTTACTACACCGTTTTTGTCTAATTTTAAATTGTAAGTTGGGAGTGTAGTATAATGGCAACTGGATAGTTAGGGCTTTAATTAAGAGTTTTAATATGAAAGGATTTAGTATTGAGGAAGTGTTAGAAAAGGGAATTGTTTAATGTGTAACCAACAAATGAGGAACGAGTTATAAAATGTATTTGCGTATATTCAACTAAATTTTGATTGAGAGGGTGTATAACTGGATTGTTTCAATGTATGATCATTGAAGTAAGAATTTGTTAAAATAAAATTTTCCTTTATTTGTCGTATGCCTAGGTTGTGCTGAATTCTTAGGCTGAATTCTCCTAATTGATAGTGCTGATTTAGTGAATAAAATATGTATGAAAACTAATATACAGTTGTTTCTCTCATTTGCAAATAGACCCCCTTGAGTCTTCACCACCCGAGGAAATAATTAACATCAAATAGAACCGCTAGCCATTTACCATCTAACTAATTAATAGAGTACTTGGGTGAATCTCTACAGTATGATGAAAATATTGATGCTGATTATGCGATACAGAAAGTAGAAAAATAATTGATGACCAAAGTTAGGAACTTGTAAATGGAGCTTGACGAGTTGAAAAAATTATGGGAAAAATTTGGAGAGGAATGGAAATAGTGTTCAAATGGAAGATAATGTAGGAAAATGAGAGAAGATGACATACTCAGCAGGGAAGAATCCGACGTCACTGCACATGATGAAGTATCAGGTTCTAACAGCGATGTGCAGTCGTTGTGAAACCAAATCCAACTTACAGCTTGGAGTAACCCAGGAAAAAGTTATGACGTGATCGAGGAACCGGCCAGTTCCAGTGAGATCCATAGAGCCATTCCACTAGCTTCGAAGGGATGAAGTTATTAGTGTTCCAGTAAAGGACGAAATTTTGCTAAATGAAGGTTTTCCATTAGAAAAAAATTCTAATGAGGGGTCCAGTGAAGGACGAGATTTTGTTGAATGAAGGTTATTATGCCGCCGATAACTGATGAAGTGTGCCATGGAAATCTACGCGAAACTTCAAGGGTTAAGGCTCAACACATTAAATAATGTGATGAAGTTTTGACAGGCTTGCCAGTAGCACCAGTTTTGGAGAGGAAGGACAGTAAACTTTCAGGGAAATTCCGAAGGAATTTCAAGGATCTATTAGAAAAAAATTCTAAGGAAAGTCCAGTAAAGGACATGGAAGATGGTTTTCTGGTGACTCTGAGAGACGAGGTGATATTACCATCGATGAGTCAAGTAGTGTATCAAGCAACCCTATGCAGAGTTTCAAGGGTTAAGGCTCAGCACATAGTGTCGCTTATCTGAAAAATGGGCATAAGTACCATAAACCTTTTTCCAAATACTATTTGAATTCAAGAAATTTCAGGCGAACATGATAAAATATGACTTAGGTGGACATAGGTACCCCTGAATAAGATTTGCTTACTTATTTGCTGGGAGTTTTATCTAGCCACTGGTTCGATTTGGGTATAGGTTTTAGGAGCACATCAGGTGGTAGTCTTTATAGTGGCAGTTTCTAATATTCAGCATCATTATTACAGTGACGTCATCTTTGTTTACCATTAGTTCTTTAATTTTGGTCCAGTCGACATTTTCACCAGAGTCTAGTTTTCTGTCTTCGCGAAGGCGGTTCAAATTCATTATTCGTGGGAAAAGTTTTATTTTTATAGATAGCTAAAATGTGACCCTATGATGAAATTTACAAACACATGAAGTTCTGCGAAAGGTCTAATCTGTTCGAGGGTAAAAAGCTCTTGATCCAGAAAAGTATCGAATTTTATAGCTTCAAGATTATTATTGCTGTAATCCAAAATTGACAAATATATAGGCAAAATTTATGTTTTCCGAGATAAACACTAAACTTTAAACTAATCTCTCGACTAAACCAGGCCCATGTGGTTGTAATAATTTATTCAAAGTCAAGAATAATCTCTGACCCACGTTTTATAACGAACCCAGATGCCAGAATGATATATTATATTCGAAGCATATGTGTGTGTAGAGAAACAATAATTACATGAGCTGGATTTTTAGGATGCAAAACCCGCAAGGGTTTGAGGAAAACCACCTATTTAAAATATTATTTCTTCAAATCTTAACTTTTAAAAAAAATGTTTACTGAATAAAAGTAGATGTTGCAACCATGTATTGCTCAGTGGAATTCATGAGAAGAAGAGCGCGCCATCAAATTTAGGGGACCGCGTTCGAGCCGTACTGCGAACGGGACACAGAAGAGAATAGGCAACTAGACGCTAGACTGGAGAACAGACTGGTTCCTTTAAACGCGTGTCTGTAATTATTCATTATTCAATTTTCATTCCTATTTTGCATTAAAATTAATTGTTCAATCCAATTTGTTATTAGTGTGTGTGTCAAGGAGCGATCACCAGGTCAGTTAAATAATTATTATTTTGTTTTTGAGAGTTCAATTTACGCAAGTATTATGTTTTTTTGTTTGTTTATAACAATTTATTATAACATGTCCATTGTTTATGTATTTAACCAAAATCGTTTCATGCTGTAAACAACACAGATAAAGAGTGAATTAAAACCTAAGAAATTATGTGCTGTCTTTTGTGCTGATATTTTGATTTTGTGTATTCGAAACGTGCATTAGGTCGTTGTTGAATTTACTAACATTTTCCTACCCTGACGAGAGAATATCCTAACAAATTGAAATAATCAATCTAGAGATATTGGCTCAAAAACAACTATAGCTGCGTAGCTTCCCGTATGGGACCTGAGTACCTGCTGGGAAACTGGCTAACTAACAAAAACTCATTAGAGAGTTTTGATCATTTCACACCCTTATTAATTAGGTTAGAATTTATGGAACTTTCATTCTATACATTTAATTAAGATAAAAATTAGGGAACTATTATTTTATACATTCAATTAGGTAAGTAGAAAAGGGAAAGATTTTCAATTAAAAGGGAAAACAGTAAATGTTCAATCAATAATTTGACAACATGTAAGTAGCGAACTCTGTTGGAGAACCATCAAACTGGATTACAGGGTTGAGCACTTTGGATGCGGGGAAGGTTGGATAAACTTGAGAACCAATAGAAACACGGTAAGAAACCAAGGGGTATTTTCAGCGAATCGTTGTAAGCCAAGCCACCCTCGAATCTCGCAAGCCTGGTACTGAGAGGAGTCAATTGGCTTCTAAAGTGGTACCCAGAGGGTGGTTCCTTTCGCTTATTTAAGCAGATGTAGAGGCCACATAACTTCAGTTATCGCCAATTCGCGACTAGATTTTACCACGAGTAATCGCCGGGAAATTAAGTCGTAAAGTCTCAATGAGTTCTCGATCTGTTCCTCATCCGCTAGTTCATCTGCCGCCCGCAGTGTTTTAGTGAAAGCTCTTCAAAGAGGTGATAGTTATTTTTTTTAAATTTCAATTTCCAATAAAGTTGGGAAATTATTCTCTTTTCTTTCAATTGTCTTAACTTGGCGCGGATACTACATTATGAATTTTTATTTAGATCCAATGGACTACTGATTGTACTAGAGCCTTGGTGCACGCAAAAATAATGGAAAGCAAAAAACCGTTGAAACGCTTGAGGAAGAAACAAAATCAAGTTTTATCGAAACTGTCGGAACTTAGCAGAAAAGAATTGACGAAACTACAAAGACTAAAAGCAAACGCTTTAATAACAATAGAAATTCATTCTAGGGACGTAATTGATAGATTATATAAAGCCAGTAAGGCATTTCTCTATAAAAAACAAAACTTGCTTTACAGTAATTTTTAGATTGCAGAGACACAAATGCCTTTGAATGGTTCTCACAGCTAAGATTCTATTGGGACAGAGAATCAGACGATTGCATTGTAAAGCAAACAAATACAAATTTCTGTTACGGCTACGAGTACAATGGAAATTCTGGCAGATTGGTCATCACTCCTCTAACCGATCGGTTAAGGAAATAATATTCTACTAATGAATTATAACAAACATTTTTTTTAGATGTTACATAACGTTGACTACAGCTTTGCACCTCTACAGAGGCGGAAGTCCAAAAGGTCCTGCTGGTACTGGCAAAACTGAGACCGTTAAAGATTTAGGCAAAGCCATGGGAATGTGGGTGATTGTCAATAATTGCTCGGAAGGATTGGATTATAAGAGTATGGGAAAGTGTTTTTCTGGTCTGTCTCAAACGGGAGCTTGGGGCTGTTTTGATGAGTTCAACCGAATCAATATTGAAGTTTTGTCAGTAGTTGCTCAACAGATTTTATGTATTTTGCAAGCTTTGTCTAATAAGCAGAGACGGTTGACGTTTGAAGGTACATATAAACATTTTCATTTTTATTTAAAAAAAATTAAACTTTATGTTGATTTTTTGAGGTGTGGAAATTAATGTAAAGTCATCAGTGGGCATTTTCATAACAATGAATCCAGGCTACGCAGGCAGAACCGAATTGCCCGACAATTTAAAATCAATGTTTCGTCCCATTTCCATGATGGTGCCCGACAGTAATATTATTGCCGAAAATGTGCTTTTCAGCGATGGGTTTACCAATACGAAATCTTTGGCTAAAAAGGTTTTAGAGTTTTATAATAATAATACAACCTAACATCAATTTCCATATAGGTTTATACACTTTATCAACTAGCTATTCAACAATTGAGCAAACAAGATCATTACGATTTCGGTTTGAGATCTATGGTCGCTTTGCTGAGATATGCTGGAAGCAAAAGACGACAAATGCCCAACGTTCCTGAAGATCAAGTTGTTTATTTGGCCATGAGAGATATGAATGTAGCCAGGTACAATTTCCACTAATTGTTTGATTAATTCTAAGAAATTGTTTCTAGATTCACCTCCAACGATTTGCCTCTTTTCAATGGCATAATGTCTGATATTTTTCCCGGTGTTGTAATACCAACCGTCGATTATATCGACATCAATTTAGCTATGACTGATTACATGGCTGAAAGTAATCTACAACCAATCCCTATTGCTATAACTAAAGTAAGCAACAAGGAAAGTTTCTTGTAGTTTTTCATTGAGAATTGTTAATAGGTGCTTCAACTATATGAAACCAAAAGCTCTAGGCATTCAGTGATGATTCTTGGGAAAACTGGCACTGCCAAAAGCGTCACCTGGAAAACTTTGCAAGGGACTATGACTAAGCTTTGCAAGCAAAACAAGCCAGGATTTAATAATGTACAGGTACGTAGTTTACATCTTGGTTTATGTCCAATAAATTGAGGCTTCTTCTTGGGGAGATAGTCGTTGGCTCACTTTTATAGGTGTTGGTATGTGTGTGTTCATTGGTTGGAGGTGTCAGCAGCACTGCGACCAAGGTTGATCTATTGTACTCCTCTTTCTGCTGATAAGTTTGGGTTTCCTGCTCAAAGCAGCCCATCTAATCCAGGAATTTTAGGATATCTAGCGGTTCTAGGGCTGGAATTTCTTCCAACTATATAAGGGCACTTCCCAGGTTCTTTATCCTCGAGCGACTAACGGCATCGCAGTTCAGTAGAAAATGGTGAGGTGTCTCTTCTCCATCTTCACAGAATCTGCAGGTGCCACCTTCTGCTAACCCCAACTTCTGTAGATGTTTCTTACGTCTGCAATGTCAAGAAACCCGGTTAGAGTCTTGAGACTTTTCTTGCTAAGGTTGACCAGCAGTTCTGATCTTTTTTAGTTGAACTTGCCCAATAGATCTTTGGCCTGTCGTAGTCCTGGCTGTTCTAGCTATTACTTGTTCCTTAGCCAGTTCTCTTCTTTTTTGAGGATTTCTTGGGGATGCGCATCTCCGACGCTGCAAAATGGTTCTGACTCAGTGAAGGAAGTAGACGCTCCCGTTCTTGCGAGTTTGTCTGCACATTCGTTGCCCTCGATACCTATGTGTCAGGGCACCCAGAGGAGGGTAACTTTATGTTTCTCAAACCTACTAGCCCAGTTCAGTATGTTTTTAAATGAACTATCAGGAAAAAGATGAATAGCATGAGGCGTTTTCTCGCGTCTCAAATGTTTCAAAATATTTTTCAAAACTAGTTTAAGTAATGTCATCATGACGTCATAATTTCTCGGCGCGAGAAAATTGTTTGAAAACGTGGATTGGATTGTATTTCGAAACGGTTTGATTGAACCAATTTTGTCGTGACGTCATGGGTTTATCGCGAGAATATATTGTTTCAAAACAGTTTTGAATCAGTTTCAAAAACGTGGACAAGTTAGAGGATGTGGATAATCCTGACTCCTGACTGGGCACCGAGTTCTTGCAAATATAAACTCTGCATAATGATAATGTCTTGTCGTATTGCACTCAACAGATTCTACCTCGCACAAATACCTTTTAAACCACATAAAACTATGAAACTTCAAAAAAACAGCAGACAGCACACGACTAAAAAATGAAGTTTTGCCCATGTGTGGCCGCCACGCCATCTTGAATGTCACGTGGTTTGGATTGCCTAATAATCACAATAACTTAACCTAACTTCTTGCAACTAGATGTCACTCCGCTAGTAGTGGCTCCAGGCACAGCGGCGTACCTTTAACTAACTTACTACTTAAGAATAACATTATTACACCTTCCCTTTTTCGCTAAACTGGAAATAGCTTAAATATAACTAAATGATTAATACTAATCACTAATACGTAATCTGAAAACTTATTTGGTTTTCTAATGATTCGTGTTGACCTCATACTCTCATAACTTTGAGGTTGGCTTGGCAAACTACCAGGCATATTACCAGTCACATTAGCATTACAGTCAACACGCTCACCATTTGAACGCTGCTCATTACCATATAGTCACCATCACCAATGTCGTTCAAGTTTTCATTTTGAGTATCACTTCTTTTTTTATAATTAAACTTCACAAACGACTTTCGTAAATGGTTACTATTTCTACGCAATATGTTCGTCCCATTATCAATAACATAAGAACGAGGAGACTCATGCTTACCTATTACCTTTGCCCTACGCCATGTATTTTCATCTCTGTATACAATATTTTCATTCTCCTTAAAATCCGACCTATCTCTCACATGCCTATCATAATATTCCTTATAAGGAGAGATCTTATAAGTAACATTTCTGTCTCTCAAAACTTGTTTAAAGTTGTAGCAAAACGCCCCAAGTACTCTATGTAATTAATTAGATGGTAAATGGCGAGCGGTATATTGATGGTGTTTATTTCCTTGGAGCTGCTACCTATAAAATTGTGGAAGGGTCTATTTGCAAGAGAGAGAAACAAACTATTGAGGTGTACTAAATTATATTTTATTATACATAAATCCAAAATTTTTTATCAGCCAAATGTCTTCCAATTCTGACAGCCTCATCTATTTCTATAAATTCAAATACTTCACATCCGTTCTAAAATTGTTATTATTACGGACTACTGAAATATCCCTACTAAATAAGAAACGCCCTATTCCTACTACTATTCCTAATAACTTATAAGTTAACTCATTTCAACATTTCCGATTCATTCCTAATAAACTAGGTACCCTTCACCTAATTTATATAAATTCTTAAAAATTTCTAAGTCCTTTACTGACTGCTTATGAAAAACCCAAAATAATTACCTATTTGATTATTAATATAGGTATTACTAACTTATTTTTATAAAACCATACAATAATTTCTACTTGAAAAATAAAACCCTAATTCAAAATTCATTTCATAAACAATACCTAAGTTTCTTTTCAAAATTTCCTATTCTATTTAATAGCTTATTTAATCAGAACAAATTCTATTATAAGTTTCCTTTAACAACTTTCCAATATTTTAAGACAATTCTATTTTATGAACATCAAGTTTCTTTTCAAAATTTTCTATTCCATCTAATCAGAATAATTCTATTCTCGGATTCCTATGCCTAGCTAATAAACCCAACTGTTTAATTCATAATTCCTACTCAAAATAATCAAAATTGTATATTGGTAAGTGCATTATAAATTCCCTTCATATTTTTTTTTTGCAAAATAAAATTAGAATGTCATTATATCTGAAGGCAATTAAAGTTATGCAATAATGTTCCATTTTCAAAACACTCGAGTTATTGATATTTATGCAATAAAGTTCCGCAGTTAATTATAAAGTCGAAAGTTTTTCTAGTAAAAATCACTCAAGTTTTTAGGCATTAAAAGTCATTGTTAATTCACTTCTTATCATTCAGAATCATTGACAAAAGTCAGAAAATTATTAAACACTAAAGTACTTACATTTTACTTTGCACACGTGAAATTACTTAATTAATTACTCAAAATTTTCAGCTAGCACGCACATAAATGTTGACGAATTTAATTGTTTTTTCTTTCAAAAATTTTCCGCTACTTTTTCAAAGAGTTACCGAGGCAATACAAGAAACTTTCCGGACTGACACTTTAGGTACTGTAGATTTTAACTCAAACTGGACAGGACTGCGAACTCATCTCTCAACTCACAGTTAACAACTGGCAACTCAACTGAAAACTACCTTCCACTTCTAAAACCGCGGTATTTATATTTTTTTGATTCCCCTCCGAAATTTCTGTGTCCATGACAATTAAGATGATGCAATTTCCTTGAAATTTTTGTCATTTTATTAGTTTAAATCGAATTATCGGGGTCAAATACATCTTGGTTCAAGAATGCCATAAATCATTCGATTTAATTAACATGATGGCCTCGCTAAAAAAAAAGTTCATTGATCGGGTGTTAGGATGACATCACCCTGTCCTCGTTTTTATTATTTTTAAGAATTTAATTTAGATGATGACATGGGCTGGGTGTCGAATTACATTAGCGTTAATTTGTTTCATTTTAATTTATCGATAGTGATTTGGAGATACCGGAAATTCTGTTTAAATTTAATTTTTTTTTTACAGTAAAGACATTGTAATTATCGGGACTATTTTTCCCGGATCATTACAAAGTCTTTAATTTCACTATTTTGACATTCTACTACCAGTAATTTAGTTTTGAGCTTTCTAGAAAATAGCAGTTCCGCAGGTGATCTTTTCAAACTAGTTATAGGAGTATTGCGGTACTCCATTAATGCAACCCAAATATCATCAGCTTTACGAAGGAGATTTTTAGCAGTCTGCACAAAACGTTCCGCTAAGCTATTAGACCGTGGATATCTAGGGCTACTAGTTTGAAACTTGTGCAAAACGCTTACAATCATATGAATTAAATGGCATGTTGTCTGCAATAACGATATCAGGAACTCCATGAGTTGCAAATATCTAAAATATTATTTCCAACCATTTAGTCAGGTCAAGTGCCTTGTCATGAATACCCAACCATTGGAAAGTTATATCCTTTTTAAGTAATTAATAAAGCGAGCTAGAGATTTCACCCAGTTTAGGAACAAATTTTCTTACGTAATTTATTAACCCTAAAAGCCTTTGAAGCTCCTTTTTATTTGCAGGAGGGTTCAGATCATTAATGGCTCCAATTTTCTCATCATCAATTTTCATACCTGATTCGTTAAAAATGTGCCCCATATATTTAATCTCAGTTTTTCTAAATTGAAACTTTTGTTTGTTAAACTTTACACCCTTTTCTCTAGCTCTACACAAAACTTGTTCTATTACTCTATGATGTTTTTCCATACTTTCACAAGCAATCAGCAGATCATCAAAATATATGATAACATCTTTTATGTCATCAAAATTTTTCAGATTTATTTTCTGAAAATACTCAGGGGCTAGATTTAATCCAAAGGGTAACTGGAGAAACCTGTAACACCCAAAAGGGGTTGCGAACGTTGTCAACCTTCTAGAAAAGTTATCCAATCTAACTTGATAAAATCCGTCTTTAAAATCAAGTATTTTTTACTTGACAATTTTGAACTAATTTCCTCTAAACTTGGAATCTTAAAAAACTCTCTTTTAATACATTTATTTAAGTCTTGTGGATCCAAATACAAATGCAAGGATTCATTTGGCTTTTCGACAATAACTAAATTGTTTACCCATTCACTTACTTCAGCAATAATACTTTTACTTTCTAATTTATCCAATTTTTGTTTAAGTTTATTTTTTGTTATCAATGGTACTCTTCTAGCAGGCTTGGCAACTGGTTCACTATTTTCCTTTAAGTGAATCTTGCAAACATCGGCAAAACTTCCCAAACCTTCAAAAATGTCAAAATTATCTCTAATTATTTTTTCTTTGCTAGTCTCATAGTATTTACTCACATCTAAAGATTTTTCATCAATCATCGAACGGCTCATCGTTCCCCTGATTTCTACTATTGAACATGAATCTTTCATAGGTTTTATTTTTTCTGGGGGCACAATACTTTTTGAATTCATCTACAACACTTTCAAATTTGTCTTTTTGTGGAATCTTTAATATATTATATGTACAATATTTCTACTCCTTCTGTTCCAATCATATTTAAAAACAGGGCAATTTTTATTTTATCTGACTTGGAATCTTTTTCGGTGGCTACTAAATACTGTAATGATCCAGAGATTAGTAAATCACAATGTCTTTACTGTAAAAATTAAATAATTATCAAATAATCAAAAACTTAATTTCCGGTATTTCTAAATCAGTATCGATAAATTAAAATGAAGCAAATTAACGCTAACGTATCTCGACAAGCAGCGTGATGTCATCCAACATCCGATCAATGAACTTTTTTTTAGCGAGGCCATCGCGTACCCAATTATTGTTCGTCGATTTTAATCTGATACTCGGACGGAATGTGAGCTGGTGGCTCCCTACATTAGAACGCCAATGGTTACCTGACGTCACACCTGTTTTTGCCATATGAAACACCCCCTCGCTCCTCATACCGCAAGTGTCAGTTAAAAATCTACGAACAATAAATCGAATGATTTATGGCATTCTTGAACCAATAGTGTTTTGACCTCGATAAATCAGGATATTGCGACGTAATTATTCGATTTTTTAGACTAAAAATGAAAAAAATCTCAAGGAAATTGCATCATCTTAATTGTCATGGACAGAGAAAATTGGGGGGATCGATTTAATATAAATACCGCGGTTTTGGAAGAGGAAGTCAGTTGTAAGTTGCTAGTTAAGTTGTCAGTTGAGAGATGAGTTCGCAGTCCTGTTCAGTTTGAGTTAAAATCTACAGTACCTAAAGTGTCAGTCCGGAAAGTTTCTTGTATTGCCTCGGTAACAGTCTTTGAAAAAGTAGCGGAAAATTTTTGAAAGAAAGAACAATTAAATTCGTCAACATTTATGTGCGTGCTAGCTAAAAATTTTGAGTAATTAATTAAGTAATTTCACGTGTGCAAAGTAAAATGTAAGTACTTTAGTGTTTAATAATTTTCTGACTTTTATCAATGATTCTGAATAATAAGAAGTGAATTAACAATGACTTTTAATGCGTAAAAACTTGAGTGATTTTTACTAGAAAAACTTTTGACTTTATAATTAACTGTGGAACTTTATTGCATAAATATCAATAACTCGAGTATAATGCACCTACCAATATACAATTTTGACTATTTTAAGTAAGGATTATGAATTAAACAGTTGGGTTTATTAGCTAGGCATAGGAATCCGAAAATAGAATTTGTTCTGATAAACTATTAACTGGAATAGGAAATTTTGAAAAGAAAATTGATGTTCATGAAATAGAATTGTCTTAAAATATTGGAAAATTATTGTTCATGAAATGAATTTTGAATTAGGATTTTTATTTTTTAAGTAGAAATTATTGTAAGGTTTTATAAGAATAAGTTAGTAATACCTATATTGATAGACAAATAGGTAATTATTTTGGGGTTTTTCATAAGCAGGTCCAGTAAAGGACTTAGAAATTTTGAAGAATTTACATAATTAGGTGAAGGGTAGTTTATTAGGAATGATCAGGGATTCATCAAGCCAAGTAGCTTGAATTTTTTCTTAAATACTTGACTTGACTTGAAAACTCAAGCTTTTGAAAATTTGATATTTGACTTGACTTGATTTTTGGTCTGGACTACTTGACTTGATATCAAGTAAAATCAAACTACTTGATATTACTTGATAGCGATCTGTGAAATGCGCATCGAAGCGATAAAATAGGGGATTCACCGAGGTTAAATAGGGAATTCACCGAGGTTAAATAGGGGATTCACCGAGGTTACAGCCAGGCCCGTTCTTGGGGGATCAAGCGCCTGCGTGCAGGATTTTTTTATTCCGCCCTTCAGCCAGGGGCTTACTAAGGCACATCCTATTGGGGGAGGTGGACAAATTTCCCAACTTTGTATTAACTTAATAACCATACCATTATATACTCCTAACTCCTAGTTCAATGAACGAAAAACAATTGAAATACATAATAACAGTGGCGGCTATAGGGTTTGGTCTTGAGGGGGGAAGGGAATTCAGAATATTTCGAATTTTATTTCATATTATTTCATTTATTATTTAACTAAGTTTGTTAGAGTTTTCGTTTTTAGATGTTTTTTAAATAAAAGATTACATCTATGTACATATATACAGGGTGAGTTAATAAGCGCGCGGTGGTCCATATGTCCTATACTAATGGAGATCGAAGAAAAAAAACTTATTGATAAACATGAGTACTACATTTCTAAATTATTTTCCACTATACAGGCTGGTCCAATAAGTAGTGGTGACACAAAATGTTTTTTTTTTTTAATGATTCCCCCTTATATTATGACATTTCTGGATTCTGCGGAAAATTGTAGACAAATTTCATCTACAATGTCATATATCTATCTTCAACTGTTTCGGAAATATTGACAGTTGAAAATTGACTTTCTCGCATCTTTGACAGACTGTAAAACCTGAACGGTTAATTTTACAATAAAACCGATCATACATTCTTATCTTAGTTTTTCATAAAGTATCATTTGACATCAACTTTGAATTTATCCATGATTAAAAATTTCGCTTAAATTATTAATCTCCGGTTGAATTCAAAGTTGATGTCAAAAATGATAGCTTATGAAAATCTGGGACACGAATGTGAAATCGGTTTTGCTGTAAAATCAACCGTTTAGGTTTTACAGTCTGTCAAAGATGCAAAAAAGTCAATTTTAAACTGTCAATATTTCCGAAACAGTTGAAGGTAGGTATATGACATTGTACATGAAATATGTCTAGAATTTTCCACAGAATCCAGAAATGTCATAATATACAGGGAGAGTTATTTAAAAAAACATAACTTTGTATCACCACTACTTATTGGGCCACCCTGTATAGTGGAATATAATTTAGGAATGTAGCTACAAGTTTTGTATTTAGTTTTTTCTTCGATCTTTGTTAGTATAGGGGATATGGACCACCGCGCGATTACTAACTCACCCTGTATTCATAGATTTTTATTGTTATTGCGTTCTGGCAGTTTATCAGATTAATATCAAAAAAGTAGTATTTTTCAAGAAAAATCAAGTATTTAGCTTGAAAAACTTGATTTTCAAGTTACTTGATGTTTAACTACTTGACTTTACTTGAATTTCAAAAACAAATACTTGACTTGATCTTTACTTGATATCAAGTCAAGTCAAGTCAAGTAGCTTGAAAATCAAATCAATTCGTGAATGAATCGGAAGTGTTGAAATGAGTTAGCTTTTAAGTTATTAGGAATAGTAGGAATAGGGCGTTTCTTTATTAGTAGGGATATTTCAGTGGTCCGTAGTAATGACAATTTTTGAACGGATGTAAAGTAATTGAATTTATAGAAATAGATGAGGCTGTCAGAATTGGAAGATATTTTGCTGATTTTGGTTTTATGTATAATAAAATATAATTTAGTACACCTCAATAGTTTGTTTCTCTCTCTTGCAAATAGACCCTTCCACGGATTTTAGGTAGCAGCTCCAAGGAAATAAACACCATCAATATACCGCTCGCCATTTACCATCTTACTAATTACATAGAGTACTTGGGGCGTTTTGCTACAATACATTTCAAAGATTTGATAAAACCCTTTGAAATTTTAACTCAAATTTCCCACAAACTTCATGGGTTCAGGTAGCCGGCCTTTAATTTTTTTAGTACTTTTTACTTTTTCTCTTCAAAAACAGATTTCACAAAATTTATATAAACAAGTTCTTTGTGTTCTCTACATGTCGGTTACAGAGAAGTTTAGAATCTAGGGTTATTCCTACAAAGTGTTATGTCTAACACCTCTTGTCTGACCCTAGTAACATTAGTAACAAATGTTGGTGTATTCCCTTCATTTAGTATATTTAGGTTTGTTTGAAAGATAAATTCTAACAGTTGCTCACCTCTTAGATTTGTGTCGGTACTTCCCCAGGTGGTGTTGTGGGCGTTGGCGTCACAGCCAATTAGAAGCGGTAGTTTGTTCCTGTAGCAGTACTCGCAAAAAATTTTGGTCCACTTATATATAAAAATTCTTCCAAAGGTGTATCCGATAAATCCCAAAGCCCTAAATCTCGGCGAGCTTTATGGAGAATACAATTTAAGCACCAACGAATGGTTGGACGGCGTTATAAGCGCAATAATGCGTAAAGTATGCTCGGAAGAAACCCCGGACGAAAAATGGATTCTGTTCGACGGTCCCGTCGATGCTGTTTGGATCGAAAACATGAACAGCGTTATGGACGATAACAAGGTTTTGACGTTGATCAATAGCGATCGGATAACGATGCCTGAACAAGTTTCTTTGCTTTTCGAAGTTGGCGACTTGTCGGTTGCTTCTCCTGCAACTGTTAGCAGGTAATAATCCAAATTTACACTTTCATAGTCTTAATTTTTTCTCTACAGATGCGGTATGGTATATAATGACTACAAAGATTGGGGCTGGGAGCCATTTGTACATTCCTGGATAAGTAAGCTCATACAAATAATAGTTACATATAATCCCTATTTCGCCTGATTATTTTCCAGATTCTCAAAAAGCAAAAGGTGCCAGGTTTCAAGAAGTAGTCCTACGCTACTTCAAATCGTACCTGAGCCTGATTCTGGAATTCAAAAGATTCAATTGCTCCGAACCAGTTGAGTGTTGCGAGATCAATTTGGTCAGTTCCCTGTGCAAATTGCTGGAAATATTTTGCTGCAAGGAAACCGGGATGAATCCTGCTGATGAAGTAATTATTGAATTTTAAAGGCTTGGTATTAAAAATTGATGTTTCAGGATCGTTTTGATGAATACATAAGAAACTGGTTCTTGTTTTGCATTATCTGGTCAATTTGTTGCACCACTGACGAAGATGGCAGAGCCAAATTTGATACACTTATACGGGAAAAGGAGGGAGTGTTTCCAATAAAAGACAGCGTGTACGAGTACCACGTTGACATAATAAATTACAGTTTTGTTAATTGGGAGGAAAAATTAAAATATGGTAAAACAAAAATGAGTTAATAAAAGTTATATATTATTTTTGTTTTTAGGTTGGAGATTCGACCCTGCATTGCCCTTCTACAAAATCATAGTACCTACAATAGACACCGTCAGATACGAATACTTAGTTAATGCCCTTTTATATAAGGAATGTCCTATTTTGTTAACTGGTCCTGTGGGTACTGGCAAGACTTCCATTGCCCAGTCAGTAGTAGGACTTATAAATCTTGAAGAATATGCCTTATTGAACATTAATATGAGCGCTCAAACTTCTTCATACAATTTACAAGTAATAATAATTGTTAATGAATATCAAATTTAATAATGAATTATTTAGAGTGCCATAGAGAGTCGCTTAGAGAAACGAACCAAAAACCATTACGCTCCTCCTGCCGGTAAAATTTTGATCACCTTTTTGGACGACCTTAATATGCCGGCAAAAGACACTTATGGTTCGCAACCACCTTTGGAACTACTGAGGGAGTGGATGGACTATGGGTTTTGGTACGACCGAGAAAAGCAAACCAGAAGATGTGTAGAGGTAAGCAAAAAATTGTCAATAAAGAATTTTTTGCTAGTAGTGTAATGATCCAGAAATTAGACCCGTGAATCACAATGTCTTTACTGTAAAAATTTAATAATTATCAAATAATCAAAAACTTAATTCCGGTATTTCTAAATCAGTATCGATCAAAATGAAACAAATTAACGGTAACGTAATTCGTCATCATCTAAATTAAATTCTTAAAAATAATAAGAACGAAGACAGTGTGACATCACTAACATCCGATCAATGATTTTTGTTGGCGAGGCCACCGCGTACCTAATTAAATTGATTGATTTATGGCATTCTTGAACCCATAACGTTTTGACCTCAATAAATCAGAATATTGCGACATAATTAATCGATTTTTAGCCTAAAAATGATAAAAAATTCCAAGGAAATTGCATCATCTTAATTGTCATGGACACAGAAATTTCGGAGGGGAAATCAAAAAATATAAATACCGGGTTTTAGAAGTGGAAGAAGCAGTTGCTAGTTAGTTGTTGAGAGATGAGTTCGCAGTCCTGTCCAGTTTGAGTTAAAGTCTATCCGGTTTCGCAAAAAGTTTTTTTTTTTTTGCGTATGGCCTCGGGTTTAATTTGACTTAGTAAAAGTTCGAAAAATCGTGAAAGAAATAAGATTTGAAATTCTTTCAACAATTATGTGCGGGCTCTAAATAATCAAAAGAATTAATTTAGATTAGTTTTGTGTTTTATGGACAAAATGTAAGTACTCTATAAGTGACAAGATTTATTTTGAATATAAATGATGAACATGATTTTGTGTGATTAAACTTTGAATTGTAGCCTAAACTTGAGTAATTTTGACTAGAAAAACTATCTGACTTTTATCAATGATTCTGAATGATAAGAAGTGAATTAACAATGACTTTTAATGTGTAAAAACTTGAGTGATTTTTTATTAGAAAAACTTTTGACTTTATAATTAACTGTGGAACTTTATTTGCATAAATATCAATAATAATAAACTGGCACGTTGGCGTTTTGATAAAGGACGACAGGACGCCCTACTCAAAGCCAAGCAACGCGGTGTCGGGTTGGAGATTGGATGGGTGACCGCAGTAGTACGGGACGGTGGGTCGACTGCGCTGCCGCCAATCATCTGATCTGCAAGTATGAATGAGAAGGAGTAGAGCCCATACGAATGACATACAAAAAGCCTATAAAGGCTGCAGTGTAGAGTATGGGCTCGAAAGGGTGAAACCAAAAATCTAAAAAAAAAAAAATATCAATAACTCGAGTGTTTTGAAAATGGAGCATTATTGCATAACTTTAATTGCCTTCAATTTATTGAAACTTTTGTATTTGACACTTTTGTCAAAAATGTCAAATGAAAAAGTTAGAAGGGGGTGACATTTATAATAGATCACCCTGTACTTACTCTGTTATTTAAGGTTAGTTAGTAAATTGCGAGTGGTCGTATTTGATGGTAATTATTTCCTTGGGTAGCTACTGTAAAATGAAATTGTCGGAGCGGGTCTATTTGCAAGAGCGAAAAACAACTGATTTATGGTTATTGTAATGATCCAGAAATTAGACCCGAAAATCACAATGTCTTTACTGTAAAAATTAAATAATTATCAAATAATCAAAAACTTAATTTCCGGTATTTCTAAATCAGTATCGATAAATTAAAAATGAAACAAATTAACGCTAGCGTAATTCGACACCCCGCCTATGTCATCATCTAAATTAAATTCTTAAAAATAATAAAAACGAGGATAAGGTGATGTCATCCTAACACCCGATTAATGAACTTTTTTTTTTTAGCGAGGCCATCGCGTACCTAATTAAATCGAATGATTTATGGCATTCTTGAACCAATAATGTTTTGACCTCGATAAATCAGGCATAATTATTCGATTTTTTAGACTAAAAATGATAAAAATCTCAAGGAAATTGCATCATCTTAATTGTCATGGACAGAGAAAATTGGGGGGATCGATTTAATATAAATACCGCGGTTTTAGAAGAGGAAGTCAGTTGTAAGTTAAGTTGTCAGTTGAGAGATGAGTTCGCAGTCCTGTCCAGTTTGAGCTACAATCTACAGTACCTAAAGTGTCAGTCCGGAAAGTTTCTTGTATTGCCTCGGTAACAGTCTTTGAAAAAGTAGCGGAAAAATTTTGAAAGAAAGAACAATTAAATTCGTCAACATTTATGTGCGTGCTAGCTAAAAATTTTGAGTAATTAATTAAGTAATTTTACGTGTGCAAAGTAAAATGTAAGTACTTTGGTGTTTAATAATTTTCTGACTTTTATCAATGATTCTGAATGATAAGAAGTGAATTAACAATGACTTTTAATGCCTAAAAACTTGAGTGATTTTTACTAGAAAAACTTAATGACATTCTAATTTAATTGTGCAAAGAAAATATGAAGGGTACTTATAATCCATTAACAATATACAATTTTGAGTTGGAATCATGAATTAAACACATGAATTTATTAGCTAGGCATAGGAATCATAAAATAGAATTGTCTTAAAATAATGGAAAGTTGTTAAAGGAAACTTATAATAGAATTTGTTCTGATTAAATAAACTATCAAATGGAATAGGAAATTTTGAAAGGAAAACTGATGTACTTACATGAAATAAAATTGTTGTCTTAAAATAATGGAAAGTGTTCTGATTAAATAAACTATCAAATGGAATAGGAAATTTTGAAAGGAAAACTGATGTACATGAAATTAAATTGTTGTCTTAAAATAATGGAAAGTGTTTGAAGGAAACTTATAATAGAATTTGTTCTGATTAAATAAACTATCAAATGGAATAGGTAATTTTGAAAAGAACTTGATGTTCATAAAATAGAATTGTTTTAAAATATTGGAAAGTTGTTGTTCAGGAAATGAGTTTTAAATTAGGGTTCTTATTTTTCGAGTAGAAATTATTGTAAGATTTAATAAGAATAAGTTAGTAATACCTATATTGATAAACAAATAAGTAATTATTTTGTGTTTTTCATAAGCAGTCAGAAATAGGACTTTTAAAGAATTTATATGAATAGGTGAAGGGTAGTTAATAGGAATGAATCGGAAGTATTGAAATGAGTTAACTCATAAGATATTAGGAATAGCAGGAATAGGGCGTTTCTCATTTAGTAGGGATATTTCAGTGGTTCGTAATAATAACAATCTAGAACTGATGTGAAGTAATTGACTTTATAGAGATAAATAAGGATGTAAAGGATTGGAAGATATTTAGCTGATTTTGGTTCTATGTAAAATAAAATATAATTTAGTACACCTCATTAGTTTGTTTCTCTCTCTTGCAAATAGACCCTTCCACAGATTTTAGATAGCAGCTCTAAATATATAATAACACCTTCAATATACCGCTCGCCATCTAACTATTTACATAGAGTACTTGGGGCATTTTGCTACAGTACCTAATTCTTCTATTTTTTAGAATATGCATGTTTTGGCAGCGATGGGTCATCCTGGAGGAGGCAGACAAGTAATTTCTGACAGGTTACAAAGCAAATTCAACGTTATCAATATGACCTTCCCCGATGAAGTCACTATTGAGAGGATTTTTGGTACTATGCTCCTAAACCATCTGTCCACGTTCGACGAAGGCGTTAAGCTAGTGGGAAAAGGAGTTACAGATGCTACTATAGGTATCGGGGGTCACAGTTTTAAAGCCTAAAAACCTTAATTTATTTTGATAGCTCTTTACAATAACGTTATCGTCAAAATGTTGCCAACCCCGACAAAAATCCACTACCTCTTCAACTTGAGAGACATTTCCAAAGTGTTCCAAGGCCTGTTGAGGAGCCACAAAGATTATCAGAACGACAAAGCTACGTTACTTAGACTATGGATTCATGAATGCTTTAGGGTATTTTTTGATAGGCTAACCGATGAACAGTAAGAATTTATTTGCGATTTTCTTGTTTTACTAGCGCCATTTTTTTTTTTTAGGGATCAAGAATGGTTTATGGTTCAAATGAACGAACAACTAGGAAGATACTTCGATTTGACTTTGCACAGCTTGTGTCCGGGCAAAGAAATACCGATTTATGCTGATTTTGTTAACACTTGGAATATTTACGAGGTAAAACATTTTAACCATGGGGTGAACCGCTGGGGATCAGTGTCGGACTGGCCCACCGGGCAAAATCCCGGTGGGCCAGGTGGGCCATTTGAATATTTATAAAAATAAATTGAAATATCCCACTCCTCACACCATTGATCATCAAATTATACGTTATTTCGCATAATCCAGCGTCCTTATGAAAAATCGACTATCTATCATATCAATATCAGCTTCTTTCTCCTTCTGCTCTGAAAAAGTTCAAGTTCAAGCCGAAGTCGCGTAGAAATCGCTCGTCGCATATCAGTCAATTTGAATTCAACTGACGTACCCGTTGTTGATTTTTAGAAATACAGAGACAGGGTAGTGAATTTGTGAAAAAAAACACCCCTCCGGCGATAGCCACCCTTACCTCAAAATTTTAAACGGCCCTACTATAGGTTATGTGGGACACCCGGTATGTAGATATAGAGCAAGTTGATCACCTGTTTTTCCAAAAATCAGCATAATCAGCAACGCTAAAATGACTGAAATAGTTTTTCTGTTTGTTGATTACGATATCTTCACATAAACTCTTCTGAGACAATAATATAGATAAAACCAATTAAGAAGAAGCCACCGCGTGATCTTTTGTCTTCCTTCAAATGGGAGGGCCCTAGAGAGAAGGGAATTTGCCTTCCTCGTTAGTGATGACATCAGATTTTAGTTGGTTCTAACTTTATCATTCAAAAATCTTGACCTCCGGGTCCCTCGCTATTACTTTTTTTTTATTTTTATACAGCCTAGATGTCCGAGAACGGAAAGGTAAAAAAAGAAAGTTATACAGGGTGTCCCACCGGATAACAAATCGATCTATTATGAAAAACTGTATGCAGAATTTTTTTGATTATTCCACTCATGTGTTACAAATCCCATAAGACAAGTGACAATTTTCAGAATTACAGCGAAAATTCTCTCTTCCATTTGTTTAACCAGAGAGAATTACATCGATAATTCACCCATGTTATTGTATATATGGTTGTCACGCTAATTTTTGATACAAACAACCGGTTCCTGATAGCAACCATTTATTTGTATTGATTGTTAAGATGTTCAAATCGTTTAATACATATTTATTTCCATATTTTTGCATTCTCATACGTGAAATAATCTTCTAAATACCACTTGAGCTTTAAAATGAACCAGATAATTTTGAAGCTCTCGTGGTATTATAGGCTTTTTACGTTATATTTAGGATGACGTCACATTTAGTAAATTTCTGCTGTCAACCTAACAAAACTAAAAGTACTTTTCAACGTATTTAAAGTAGGGCAATTTCAGATGTTTTTGGTTGGCAACGGCGCGCGACGTTGCATGATTTATATCGATTTTTATAAACATTTTCAAATATTGCGTGTCGATTCATTTCGTTATTTTAAGCTGTGAGTCGTCTTGATAAATTATTATTAACTATTTTGTATAATTCTAATTAAGTGCCAAAAATACGTTACAGTTAGAAAAAAGTTCTTTCAAGAATTCAGTACTTCTTCGTAACGTAAACTTACTCAGAAAATGCCAGCAGGTTTGTCGGAATCGGCCTCAGGAAAAGGTAGTATACATAATAACGTATTTCCAGCAGGAACGCGACCATTTTTGCTTCTTACTGCTGTGAGGCATGTAAGTAGATTACCTATTTTCTGTTTCGTTTGACAGAAAAGACCTATCTATTTTTACCTGGTATGCGCGCGCAACATGAGGCAAGTCTTTTTATTAGCTAACTAGTACAGGTGTGAAGTCTTCGTTTTGCACGCTGGACATCTCCTTGTCCTTGTTCATTGCTCGTGGTCTGACAAAAATAAAAGTACGGTTGATATTCAACTTGACATAGCTTGACAAGTGACACTCAAAAGTATTTTGAAATAGACCGATCTCCTATTACCTGGACTGCGCGCATCGCTTGTAGGCTGCAGGTGAGCGGCCAATGAGAAGCAAGTTTGTGACAGGCTGGTGTCATATTCTTATTCAGGAAGCAGTTCAGAATGAATCGTTCCTTCTTTCTTTGTAACGCGTAATTTGACAAAGAGCAAACTAATACTTTACATATTACTTGAACTCACCGCAGTTTCGTTTAAGGTTATGTTAGATTATACTTGACATATTCCTTTGCAATTTCATTGAGCGATGTTGCCGGATGAAACATTTATCAAAATAAAAGTGCAATCGATGTTCATCCACTTTAAAGCTCTTCTATTGTCTGATTTAGGACGTTGTAAAACACTTGACACTATATCACTTCTTTAATGATATAATGTTCGATTTGTATTGTTTACATTTGTTCTACAACAATACAATCTGGCTACACTGCAGCCTACGAGTTGCGCGCGCAAGTCATCTTTTATTGCTTTCTAACTTGTATTTATTACAATTAAGCTGTCTTTTTCTAATCATACGAGACAGGTCTATTTTCATTGATAAATACGTTGCAAAGCACGCGGTTTTTCTTCTTCTCTTTTTATCCCTTGCAAATAAGGAGGATGGATTGCCATACGTGAGTTTAACAAAATTTGGTACATTTTGCCTCGTCTTGTGCAATGAGCGTTCTGTGTCTTTTTTTATCTAATGGAAGTTTTCGTATTATTACCTCTTTGGTTGGTAAAATAGATAGGTCTACTGTCACGTGAAATTCTGATAAATTATAAGAAAAAAAATAGGCATTGACAACATTGTCTCTTTTTGTTCTATGACGTCATCCTAAATATAACGTAAAAAACCGATATCCCTGAAAATTTGATACTATACTAATGTCAATTGGGGCAACCCGGCTAAAATATTTTCAAGATTATTATTATTATTATTATAAAGCATTTATTGCAAAAATCCCAAACAAACATCAAATATATCAACATAATGTGAAATAAGAATTACCATAGGCGCAACTAAGGGGGTGCTTGGGGGTGCTAAGCACCCCTAAAGCAAAAATTAGCACTCCCAATATGCATCTCACCATAGCACTACCTACAGTGGCACTACTTAAAACTAATATAAAAAATCAATGCAACTAAATTATTTATTTTTGTTGTACTTTTTGTACTTACTTACGTCATCGATGACGTCATAATTTAGAAATCTTAGATTTTATTATCACTTCTCCGCGATTCTAAATTCACTTTTCCGCGATTGTAAACCCACTTTTCCGCAAATTTTACTTCATTTTTTCGCGATTCTTATCTCACGAATTCACACTCACTTGTTTTGAATTTTTTGACTCATTTTCTTTGCGATTTTTGACCCACTTTTTTGCAATTTTGTCTTCACTGTTTTGCGATTTTTGGCTCTTTTTAAGATTTTTGACTCTCTTTTTGCGAATTTGTCCTTACTTCTTTTGCGATTTTAGCCTCACTTTTTTGCGATTTCATCCTCACTTTTTTGCGATTTTACCCTCACTCCTCGGCGATTACAAACTTATTTTTCCGCTATTTCATTCTCATTTTTCCGCGATTCTTCACCTCATTTTCCCGCGATTGTTTCCCTAATTTCCGCGATTTTATCTTCACTTTTCCGCGAATTTGACCTCACTTTTTTTGTGATTTTTGAATAATTTTTTTTTTTTTGCAATTTTTGACTCATTTTTTTGCGATTTTACCATCACTTACCGCGAATCTAAATTCACTTTTTCGCGATTGTAAACCCACTTTTCTGTAAATACTATCTCATTTTTCCGCGATTCTTGTCTCACTTTTTTTTTGCGATGTATCCGCACTTTTCCGCGATACCTATTTCATTCTCCGCGATTTTATCCTCACTTTTCGTGACTTTATCCTCATTTTTCCGTGAGTCTCATCTTACTTTTCCGCGAGTTTAAACTCACTTTTTTTTGAAATTTTTGACTCATATTTTTTTTGCGATTTTTGACTCTTTTTTTTTGCGATTTTATCATCACTTTCCGCGATTTTAACCTCATTTTTCCTCATTTCAAAATTACGAGAATAACGATAATTTTTGAAAAGTTACGAAAAATTACGGTAATACGTTAAAGTACGTAAATTATGAGAATTGCAAACATTTACGAGAATTGCGGAACATGACGAAAATCACGGAATAACAAAAAATTGCGAGAATTACAAAAATTATGGGAATTGCCAAATATTACACAAAAGAATTACGAAGTTACTCCAAAATTACGTCAATTATTTAAATATTACTAATTTATGAAAAGTTACGAAAACTAACAAGAAATTACAAGAAAAAATTTACGGAACCCCGTAAAATGACGGAAATGACGAAAATTTACGGGAATTATGAGAAATTATAAAAATTACAGGAATTGAAAAAAATACGAAAAACTACGAAAATTACAAAAACTACGGGTATTACGAAATATTACGGAAAAGAATTACAAAGTTATTTCAAAATTACGTGAATTACGGTAATTCCCAAAATAACGGAAGTCACAAGTTTTTGAAATTACGAAAATTACAATAACTTAGGGAGAATTAGAAATATCCGAATTTTTTTGGAAATTAAGAAAATTAAAAATTAAAAAATTGAAAATACAAATAATTACTGGAATTACGAAAACATCACGATGGGAAAAGCGCGAATAATTGCGGGAATAACGAAAATTAACAAGTTTTCCAAAAATTGAAAAAAATAAGGGGGAATTAGAAAATAACAAGAATTATCTGAGAAATGACAGGAATTAAAAAATTTCAAAAATCCCCAAAAAAAAATACGGAAATTACCAACTTTCGAAAATTTCAAAAACTTAGGGGGAATAAAACTAACGGAATTTTTTTAAGAAATTACGGAAATTGAAAAATTACGAAAATAATGGGAATTACGAAAATTTCGAGTTTTTCGAAAATTGTAAAAACTAAGGGGGTATTATGAAAATAACGAGAATTATCTGAGAAATGACAGGAATTACATAATTTCGAAAATTCCCAAAATAAAATACGAAAATTACATGTTTTCGGAATTATCAAAGTAACGAAGTTTTCTGCGAAATTACAGGAATTAAAAAATTACGGAAATCTGAAAACTACAGGAATTATTCAAAAATTATGAAAAATACGAAAAAATCACGGGAATTAAAAAAATTGTGACAATTTTCAAAAAATTGTCGGACGGGTTCAATCGCAGTGCTTCCACTATGGTAGTACCGAAAAGATACATGTTTGCGCTGGTGACGCATGTGAGTTTTACTATTCAAACCTGTGCATATTATCAAAAATAATTAATGCTAAGCGCGCGAATAATCATCTTCAAATTCAAAAATATTGTCACCAACGATAAGATGCCAAATTTAGTTGAACCAACATTAATTAATAATTAAATACACACTAGCATAAATTTAACTAGGTACCAGATTAAACAAATTTAATGATTTTGGATATTCAGGGGATGTCCAGGGATGTCTTGAGGTTGTTCGTGGATGTACTTCAGTAGGGAAATAACTGGTGTACAAATTTTGCTCAGCGGTCTTACCTAGATTATGTTCTTATAGGAACACGCTGACAACACCGCTTTGAAAAAATTTGTGGAAAACCAAATGGAAGAATACAATATCACTCCGGGAGTAGTCAGGACGAATTTGGTACTGTTCAAAGAAGCCTTGGAGCATATTTGCAGGATTGTAAGGGTTATTTCGCAACCTAGAGGAAATATGTTACTAATAGGAATAGGTAAATACATATAATAAAATGTTGCAAATTTCAACACTAAATAATATGAATTCTTTAGGTGGTAGTGGTCGTCAATCTCTGTCCCGTATAGCGGCATACATTTGCGAGTACAACACTTTCGAAATTGCGGTAACAAGAAGCTACAAATTAGCGGATTTCAAGGAAGACTTGAAAGTTTTATACGGTTTGACCGGTGTCGCAGCTAAACCGACTTCGTTTTTGTTCAACGATACCCAAATTACCGACGAACATTTTTTGGAAATAATCAACAACATGTTGAGCAGTGGCGAGGTTGCCAATCTGTATAAGCCCGACGAATTTGAAGATGTCAGTGCAATTTTTCTCATTTGAACCAATTCTTATTGGCATATTATTTATAGGTCAGAGGAAAATTGGAAAGTATAGCTACTAAACTTGGCTTATTGTTAACAAATGAAGCAATTTACGAATTATTGATCTCCAGAGTTAGGGTCAATCTTCATATAATTTTATGTATGAGCCCTATCGGAGATGCTTTCAGAAATAGACTCAGGTAAAACATTTATTTCAAACATTAAAGTTTTTAATTAATATTATTCCTAGGCAATATCCAGCCCTTGTAAATTGTACAACAATCGATTGGTTCCACGAGTGGCCAAAACAGGCCCTTTTGGAAGTAGCCCTCAAGTTTATAGATGATGTTAATTTCAGTGAAACGATTACTGGCAAGGAAACTGTAAGGTTTTTCAATAGGTTTTGATGGTCACTAATTTTATTATTCTAGAGCACTAGAAGAGAATCCCTAGTTCTATCGACTCAACAAAAAATGATGCTTGCCACATCCGAGGCTTTTGCAACAATTCACGATTCTGTTGTCAAATATTCCAAGAGAATGTTTTCCGAAATGAGACGTTACAATTACGTCACTCCAACCAACTACTTAGAGCTGGTTACTGGATACAAAAAGTAATCAATATAATTCTAACTATCTAATTTCATCGCTCAATATTTCCCAGGATGTTAGCTAACAAACGAGGCCTGGTTTCGTCTCAAGCCAACAAGCTACGAAACGGCTTATGGAAAATTGACGATACCAAAGCAAAAGTCACAACAATGTCAATTGAGCTGGAAGAAGCCCAAGTTAAAGTGGCCGAATTTCAGCAGCAATGTGACGACTATTTGGTAATTATTGTTGCACAGCGAAAAGAGGCTGACGAACAACAAAAAGAAGTCGCTAAGAAGAGTATTAAAATCGGCGAAGAGGAGATACAGTGCAAAAAGCTTGCTGATATAGCGCAAGTTGACTTGGACGAAGCTATGCCGGCGTTGGAAGAAGCTATAAGAGCTTTAGATTCGTTGAGTAAAAAGGATATTAGTGAAATGAAGAGCTACGGCACTCCGCCGCAGAAAGTTAAAATGGTTATGGAGGCTGTGAATATTTTGAAAGGGGTAAATAGCTGCCACATAAACATCTATTGGCTTTTTGACGTTTGGTGGTCCTAGCAGATCTCTTCCTATAAGCATAGGCGCAACTAGGGGGGTGATTGGGGGTGCTAAGCACCCCTAAAGCAAAAATTAGCACTCCTATTCGGCATCCCACCATAGCACTACCTAACACTTATATAAAAAATTAGTGCAACCAAATTATTTTATGTATTTTTTTTTGCACTTTTTGTACTTAATTACGTCATTGATGACGTCATAATTTAGAAAAAAGTATTTGTCGTTGATTATTTCATTCATTATAGAATAGACCAATCAGACAACGTCATTTTTTGACTAAATTTTGTTTAAATAAGTGATTATTTCACAAGACCTGTTTATCAGCGATTAAATTTTTGTTTACCTTTTTTGACAGAATTTGGATAGAAATATTCTGACATTTTATAATAAAAAATAGAACTTTTTGTTTGTGGCTTCAATCCTAATAATTATTCAGGAAATAATCTAGCCGTATACCACTCGACCTATAAATTTAAATGGATTAAACTATCCAAATATTTTTCGCACAACTTTGCTTTTTGGCAAATAGTTTCATGCATAATAACTTTGAAATAAAAGCCCTCGACCGCTTCGCGGTCTCGACCTTTTATTAAGTTATTGTGCATTCAACTATTTCCCAAGCAAAATCATGCTCAAAATATGTTGCATAGTTTAATCGATTAAATTTGAAGGTCTTGTGATATAATATATGATTAATTCATAGAGCACGTTCGCAATTATTATTGTTATGGAATAAAAATTTTCAACCGGGGCCGGTATTACAATATTCCTTAAAATCAAGACTTACCCTAAAGTATAGGGTTTTTATGTTATATTTAGAATGACGTCATCGAACAAGGTCAGACAATGTTATCAATGTCTATGTTTATTCTATATCTTAAGGTGACGTGACATTGAAATACCGGCTCTTAAAAAATCATTGGAGTCCCAAATATATAAATTAATTAACTGCGTATTATACAGGGTGTTCTTAAATATCATGTACAAACGACAAAGAGTGATTCTTTTTTTTTACGACTGAAATCTCAAATATGTTATTCTAAAAAATTGACTTATTTAAGGCAATTAGGCAATTCAATCCATCTGACAAAAAGGAAAATTCAATGTGGCGTGGCGGCCAAGTAAGTTTGTTTTGAATATGTTTTTATGTGTATTTTAAATTATTTTGCATACAGTTTTGCTTACAACTTTGATTTTCATTATTTAATAAAATATTTGTTGACTAGGTACCTAAACTATTAATTTGGGCAGAAACTAGATATTTTTTGTGTTTTTTGGCCCATGTGTGGCCGCCACGCCATCTTGAATGTCACGTGGTTTGAATTGCCTAATTAAAAAAAATTCACCCTCTTACATTTTATTTTTTTTCTGCAAAACTTGCAAAGAGAAAATTTTGAAAATTTTCCAGGAATAAGAGGAAAATGACAGGAATAAGAGGAAAATGAGAGGCTCATTTTACGACAATTTCAAAATTTTTCAGTAAAAAATTAATCCAGGAAAAATTTTGAAAAACTTACTTTTCAGCAAAATTAAGGAGAATTCATCCTTTTATATTTTAATTTTTTTCTAGAAATCTGGCAAAGGGAAAATTGTGAAATGTTTCCAGAAGAAAAAGAAAAGTGAGGAGCACATTATAGAAAAATTTCAAAATTTTCCAGTCAAAAATCATTCCAGGAAAAATTTTGGGAAATTGACTTTTTTAGGCAAAATTCACCGTCTTACATTTTGATTTTTTTTGAGGAAACTGGCAAGAAAATTGTGAAAATTTTCCAGAAAAAGGAGAAAATAAAGAGCTCATTATAGCAAATTTTGTAATTTTCGAAGAGTCGTAATTTCCGTAATTTTTCATTAGAAATTTTTTAATTCCTGTCATTTCTCAAATAATTCTTATAATTTTTTTTATCAATTTCTGTTGTTCTTCAAATTTTCGTAATTTTTCAATTCCCGTAGTTTCTCAGAAAATTCCGTTATTTTTATAATTCCACGTTTTTGTATATTTCAAAAATTAGTAGGTAATTCCCGTAATTTCCGTATTTTTTCTGGGCATTTTTCAAAATCATTTCCCGAAAGCCTTTGTAATTTCTAATTCTCGTAACTTTTTCGTAATCCCCGTAATTTTTTATAATTCTCGTAACTTTGATAATTTTCGTAATTTTCAATTCAATTTTCAATTGTCGTAATTTTTTAAATTTCTTGAACGTTTTTTGAAATTTTATAATTTCCCGGTTTTTATAATTTTTGTAATTGTAATTCCTGATTCTTGTAATTCTTGTTATTTTCTAACTTTTTGAAAATCATCATAGGTTTTTTCGATTTTTGCAATTCGTTAATAAATTTCCGCGATTTATTTCCAGAATTTTCGTAACTTTTGTAACTTTTCTAATTTTTATAATTTTTTAAAAATTTAATTATTTTTCGTAATTTATGCAATTTTTGCAATTCCCGTAATTTTCGTTAATTAACAAATTCCTTAATTTTTGTGTTATTTTTTTAATTCCCGTAATTTCTTTATTTTATTTTTCAATACTGATAATTCCCGTAAGTTTTTGAAAATCCCGTTATTTTTGAAATTCTCGTGATTTTTATTATTTTTTCGTAAAACGTAATTTCCAATAATTTTTTGCAATGGGGTAGTATACAAGTGATTTTTACCTATTGCTTAGTGATAGAAAAGAAGTGAAAAATCCAGCAAAAAAGTCACAACAATACAAACAACGCAAACAAACCACTACATCAAACAACGTGAACAATAAGTTACTGTGACAATGTCATACGATTCACAGGACACCACACGTCGTTGAACTGTTGAAGTCAGCTGTCGTTTTGACGCATTTTGAGCAGCGTTGCCAGATGATCAGCAGCTCGAATATTATTGGTCGGCGCTGTGGCGCTAAATTTAAATTAAAGTTTATTTTTCTCTGACTAATTCTATAGACACTATGCTGAAAAATAATTTAATATCCCACTATACCATCACCATTTAGCCTATAGAATAATGTCGAGCAGTTTTTTTACTGATTTTCATACATAATATACTACCCCATTCTAATATTTGAAATTGCCAATAATTTTCATTGCTTTTGTAATACTCAAATTTTATGATTTTCCTTTTTAGTTTTTAATAATGGTAGTTTCCGTAACTTTTTAAATTTTCCGTAATTTTTGCAATTCTCGTAATTTTTGTAACTTTTCCGTTATACGTTATTTTCCAATGTTTTCGAAATTTTAATAATTTTTGAAATTCCCGTGATTTTTTTCGTAATTTTATAATTCTCCTAATTTTTTTCAAATTTAATTTTCGCAATTTACCCATGATTTTCGCAGTTCTACATGATTTTTGAAATTCCCGTGATTTTTGTAATCCTCGTGATTTTTGTAATTTTTTCGTAATTTCCGTAATTTGCCAATGGTTTTTTCAATTTCACGTAGTTTTTGAAATTCCCGTAATTTTTTAAAATAATTTCCATTACATAAGTATTTCCATTCCCGGTTTTTTTCGTAATTTTGCAATTCTCATTTTAATTTTTCAATAGTTGTAAGTGCTGTAATTTTTTCAAATTTTCATGATATTTGCAATTTTAATGATTTTTGTTATTTTTTTGTAGTTTCCGTATTTTATGTAATTTTTCAATTATTTTTGTAATTTTACATAATTTATGAATTTCCAGTATTTTTAATTTTTTTTTATTTTCATTGCTTTTGTAATACCCGATTTTTTCGTAATTGTTTAATTTTCCTCTTAATTTTTCAATAATTAATGTATTTTCCGTGATTTTTCAAAATTCCCGTGATTTTTGCAATTTTTCCGATTTTTTTAATTTTTTCGCGATCCCTGTAATTTTTGAAATTTCTATAATTTTTTAATTTATTTTTATTAATTCTATATATTCCGTATTCCTGTATTTTCCGTAATTTTTCAATGGAATTTTTATAATTTTCCTAATTTTTGTGATTTCCGTAATTTTTTGATTTTTTCGTAGTTTCTAATATTTTTCGTAATTTTGTAATTCTTTTAATTTTTATAATTCTCATAATTTTTTAAAAATCAAGTAATTTTTTGTAGTTTTGAAATTTTTGTAATTTCTGCTAATTTCAATTTTTGTAATTTTCGTAAAATTTTCCGAAATTTTTGCAATTCTTATATTTTTTAAATTATCAATTCAAAACTATAGGAATTATATACATAATTCAAAATTTCAAAAAATATTCTGAAATTACGGAAATTATTCGAATATTACAGAAATTACGAAAAATAACGGAAATTACAAAAAAATAGGGGAATTGCAGGAATTATTCCAAAAATGCAGGAATTACTCAAAATTATTCAAAATTACAGGAATTATTTGTAAATTACGGAAATTTTCTCAATATTACAGAAAATTACAGAATTTACGAAAAATGGAAATTATGAAAAATTACGTGAATAACGAAAAATTACGAGAATTATGGACATTACGAAAAACTATGAAAATTACAGAAATTATTGCAAAAATTTTAAAATTTTCAAATGAAAAATCACTCCATAAAAAATTCTGAAAAATTGACTTAATTAAGCAAAATTAAGAAAAATTCACCTCTTACATTTTAATTTTTTTTCTGGAAAACTGGCAGAGGGAAAATTTTGAAAATTATCCAAGAAAAAGAGGAAAGTGAGGAGCTCATTATAAGAAAATTCAAAAATTTTCCAATGGAAAATCGCTCCAGGAAAAATTCTGAAAAAATGATTTTTTCAAGTAAAATTAAGAAAAACTCATCCTCTCACATTTTAATTTATTTCTGGAAAACTAATAAAACAAAACGTGAAATTTTTCCAGAAGAAAGAAGAAAATGAGGAGTTCATTATAGGAAATTTTCTTAATTTTCTAGTGAAAAATCACTCTAGGGAAAGTCAATAGGAAAGTTCTGGAAAATTGACTTTTCTAAGCATTTCTTCACATTTAATTTTTTTTTTGGAAAACTGCTAAAAGGAAAATTTTGAAAATTTTCCAGGATAAAGAGAAAAGTGAGGAGCTCATTATAGGGAAATTTCGAAATTTTCCAGTAAAAAATCACTTCAGGAAAAATTCAAAGAAAATTGACTTATTTAGGCAAAATTAAGGAAAAATTCACCCTCTTACATTTTAATTTTTTTCTGGAAAACTGGCAACATGAAAATTTTTGAATTTTCACAGGAGAAAGAGGAAAGTGAAGAGCTTATTAGAGGAAAATTTCAAAATTTTCCAGTGAGAAATCACTCCAGGATAAATTTATTTATATATTTTCGGATAATTGAATAAATTCTATTCTAAGTTAAAAAATTTATTACAAACCAATAATTCCGAAGGTGCTCCATGAATTAATCTATGACTTAACTTTTTCTCTAAGTTATGACGTCATCGATGATGTAAGTAAAAACCTTCATGCCATGCAACGAACTATATGTTTGTTTGAAATTTCAGACATAAAAAAACCTATCCCCTCAAATTTGGAGCCTAGTTGCGCTTATGCATATAAGAAAGTGTCCTGGGGTCAAGATGTTGAAATCATCTGTGTCTTCTGTTAACGGACAGAGTGGTCTTTAGACATGTTTCGATTTGATACACTAACGTCGTTAGTTCTTCATAGGTCAGAGTGCAGTTTTCAGTTACTCTCTTGTGTCGAGAATATTGTCTGTTGTGGGGGTTTCGCCGAGAGACGTTAGCCACTGTGGATCTCTCCACCACATAGATTAGCTGATTCTAACTTTGTCTAGGTCCAATCCTTTGGATATGATGTTTGCTGAGTTTTCTTGGGACCTGACATGGTTCCAGGATACTTGAATTTCGCAAACTCTATTTGCTACGAAGGTTTTCCATCTCGTAAGTCACCCTTTATCGAAGCAAGAGTGATCATGAAGTCGGTCTAGGTGTCTACCATTTGAAGAGCAGTCTTAGTTTTTTTTATGAATTTCAATAGCACGACTGCTGCACATAGTTCCAAGCGAGGTAGGATTGTTCTGTTTTTCGCTGGAGCGACCTTTGATTTTAACAATTCACTTGTCTTCTTCTGTTATTCGACTGTAGACCACTACACAGTAGGCCTTTTCCGCATTGCAAAAACCGTGGAATTCAATTTTCCTTTTTTCTTCAGATGTATTCATCTCGGAATTTTGATATTTTCTGCTTCTTTCATTTTGCTCTAAAACTGTATCCATCTTGAAGATATTTCTTGATCTATAGGTTCATCCCAGTAGCTCAGGTTTCTTAGCCATAATTCTTGAATGATGAGTTTGGTTTGTATTACGTTGTATTCGTTGCTCAAACAAAACCTTTGTTTATAGCTAGAACCGACTTGGACAGAAGCCAAACATCTTCTAGGCGAAATGAATTTTTTGAAAGACCTAAAAGAGTTCGATAAAAACCACATTTCCGAGAAGACCCTAAAGAAAATCGCTGGCTACACGACAAACGAAGAATTCCTCCCGGAAAAAGTGGGGATCGTGTCGCTGGCTGCGAAATCGCTTTGCTTGTGGGTGATCGCTATCGAGAAATACGCTAAAGTTTGGAAGTAAGAAGTTTTCCATTGTTGAACAACTCATTACCCATATGTGTATGTTTTAGGGTTGTAGGGCCTAAAAAAGCCAAATTGGACGAAGCCCTAGATTCACTAAAAGAAAAACAAGCGTTGCTTGCCGCAGCCCAACAAAAACTGGCCGAATTGAATATGTACTTGCAAAAATTACAAAAAGAATACGAAGAAAAGCTGGAACAAAAAGAGGAATTAAATCGCAAAGTAGAGATTTTTTTCTAAAAGTAATATTGTTATTGAAACTCTTGTCACTAGGCTCAATTGCTAAGGCTGAAACTGGAACGAGCGGCTACTTTAGTTGAATGTTTGGCCAGCGAAAGACAAAGATGGGAAGAAACTGTCAAAGTTTTAGATGTAAAATATGTCTTTTTGCCTGGCGATTGTTTATTGGGTACAGCTTTTGTCTCTTACATGGGACCTTTTGTCAGCATTTATCGAGACGATTTAATCGTAAGGTGGCAAAAACTTGTAAGAACTCTTATAATTAGTTACACGTTTATTATAAAAAAAAATAATTCTCCATATATAGATGACTACATTAGAAATCCCAACTTCCAGTGACTTCATGGTAATACCGTTCCTCAGCGACCCAACTACTATAAGAGAATGGAACATACAAGGCTTGCCTGCTGATAATTTTAGCACTGAAAATGGTATTATTGTAACAACTGGCAATAGATGGCCTTTGGTAATTGATCCACAATGTCAAGCTATGAAATGGATCAAGGCAATGGAAGGAAAAAATACGTTACAAGCAATAATAATATCAATATTTTTGTAAAAATTATTCTAAAAAAACATATTGTAGGTGATTGATTTTGGCATGCCAAACTTTATGTTTATAATTGAAAAAGCTGTCCAATTTGGATATCCTGTATTGTTGCAAAATATTGCAGAACAAATTGACCCTTCGATAAATCCTATACTCGCCAAGGCTGTTATTAGACATGGCGGTGAATACATGATAAAGGTATTCATTAAAAAAACAACAACTAAATAACCAACCCAATGCGAGTATTATTTCAGTTAGACGATAAATTCGTTTCTTACGATGAAAAATTCAAATTTTTCGTTACAACCAAACTTAATAATCCCCATTACACGCCGGAAATATCCACCAAAACCACCCTAGTCAATTTCGCTGTCAAAGAGCAAGGTTTGGAGGCCCAGCTTTTGGGTATAGTTGTCCGAAAAGAAAAACCGCTATTGGAAGAGCAAAAAGACAATTTGGTTATGACAATTGCACATGGCAAAAGAACTTTGGAAGAGCTGGAAAACGAACTGCTCCGTTTACTAAACGAAACCAGAGGTTCTCTATTGGAGGACGCTGAACTTTTCAATACTTTGCAAGTTTCCAAAGCTACATCCGAAGAAGTTACGAAAAGTTTAGAAGTGTCTGAGAATACTGAAGTGCAAATTGATGCTGCAAGAGAAGTAATAATAATTGTTGATTTAATGGGTTATTTTACTTTTTTTAAATATATATATTTTAGGGCTACAGGCCGTGTGCTAAAAGAGCAGCAATACTGTTTTTTGTCCTAAACGACATGGGCAAAATCGACCCAATGTACCAGTTTGCCTTGGACGCATACATTTTCCTTTTTGACAAGTCCATTTCCAAAAGCCCAAAAATGGTAATACTAATCGACAGGATAAATGCCTTGAACGAATATCACACTTTTGCGGTTTACAAGTAATTATTTGCAATTATTATTATACAAATTTACCTATATTTGCTTTTCCAGAAACACCTGTAGAGCCCTATTTGAAAAACACAAATTACTGTTTTCCTTTCACATGTGCATAAAAATTTTAAGAGCCCAAGGGAAAATTGTTGCAGGCGAATACGGATTTTTGCTTAAAGGCGGCGTAGTGTTGGACAGAGAAAGTCAAATGGAAAATCCTTGCTCAGGTATTATCAGGTTATATTCAATTCGGAAACTTTAAACATCAATTTTAGTTTGGCTAAACGAAATTGCATGGGATAATATTACGGAACTAGATAAATTAGGTGGATTCCATGGAGTTACTGATTCGTTTGAACAATATTCGAGGGATTGGTATAATTGGTACACTCATACTGAACCAGAAACTCTACCGCTTATCGGAGAATGGGATGGAATTTGCAACGAATTCCAAAAAATGCTGTTTGTCAGATCTTTGAGAACTGACCGTGTTTCGTTTTCAATAGCTAATTTCATTGTCAATCAACTTGGACCGCAATTCGTTGAACCACCAGTTTTAGGTAAGAATAATTATCAATACAAATAATCAATGTTAATTATCCCACTATTGTAGATGTAAAAGCAGTTTTGGAAGAGTCAGTAGCTCAAACCCCATTAATTTTTGTGCTATCTTCTGGAGTTGATCCAACATCAGGCCTAATTCAATTAGCCGAATCAGCCAAAATGACATCAAAGTTCCAATCTTTGAGTTTAGGACAAGGACAGGCCCCTATTGCAACAAAGTAGCTGAATCCCAACCTTTAATAAGCTAAAATATTGTATTTGAAAATGTTTAGGTTGCTACAAACTGGTGCCAGAGAAGGCCAATGGGTGTTTCTAGCCAATTGCCACTTGTCGCTTAGCTGGATGCCCAAGCTCGACAAGATCGTCGAAATATTGCAAACTGGCAAAGTGAATCCTAGTTTTCGTCTCTGGCTCAGTTCCAGCCCTCATCCAGATTTTCCGATTTCCATTTTGCAAGCGGGTATTAAGATGACGACTGAACCTCCCAAAGTAGGTATTTTTGAATTGAATTTTTTTGAAAATTTATGTTTTGGTTTGTAGGGTTTGAAGGCGAATCTGAAACGGCTTTATCAGCTTTTAACCGAAGAGCAATTTAATGCCTGCCAACATCCGGAGAAGTACAAAAAGCTTCTATTCGGCTTGTGTTTCTTTCATTCGATTTTATTGGAGCGTAAGAAATTCCAACAATTAGGCTGGAATGTGATTTATAGCTTCAATGATTCAGATTTTGTGGTAAAACATTTCAATAGCAAATAATTCAAAAAATGAGTCGGTATAATTTAGGTATCTGAAAATTTGCTTCAAATATACTTGGACGAGTACACAGAAAATACCCCGTGGGATGCTTTAAAATATCTCATCGCTGGAGTGAGTTATGGCGGTCACGTTACAGACGATTGGGACAGAAGATTGCTGACTACGTACATTAATCAGTACTTCTGTGAAGATGCTTTAACTGTGGCATATTTCAGGTAAGTAATTATACAGAGTGTCTCAGGGAAAACAGTGCACCCTGCGATTTATTGGATTTGGAATGAAAATTTGGAAAAATGCTCAGACACGTCTATTTTTGATTTGAGGGGGAATTATGTTTTTCTACAAACGTCATTAAAAGTGTCATTTTGAACGGATGCTGTCAGTGTCTAAAATGCCATTTCATGACACTGGTGTTAAAAGTGATTGTAATCACTTGTAGTGCGTTTGTAAAAAATAGTGTATGATATTCGTGCTAAAAGTGATTTTATTTTGTTCAAAGGGATGGAACAGTCCGCCTTCGGCGTCGTGTCCCAAACTTACCTTTTCACAAAATAAAATGTCACTTTTAGCACTTATATATCATAAATAACTATTCAGTTGTTTACATCCCCGTAGCTTTAACGCCCTAGCTGGGGGGGGAATAACCCCCCAAATTTGAATAGGGGATAGGGGTCGCGTGTCATATGCCGGGGAATTTAGCAACATATTCAAAGCAGAATCACCATAGTTATTTACCTAACAAATACGGAAAGTGATATTTTACCAACATTTCCCATTTCTGACATTGAATTTTTGTTTTTGATCCTGGATTCTTAAAATTTAACCGATACTGTACAACTTTTATATTTACACCTTTCATCTACCTGTAAAGGTAAAGGCTGGTGGGGTGTCAATATATAAAAAAACCATTGAAAAAAAAAACACTTTGTACTTGAACAATAACTTATTATATAAAGTCAGAATTTGTAAGATTATCCACTTTTTGTCAATTCGCCTTTCAACAGGAATTAGTAATGTTACTTCATTGAACTAGTAATATATTGTGACAAGTTATTCAAGTACAAACGAGTGGATTGTTGCGGAACTTATGGAGTGGTCTTCTACGGGACGAGCGCAGCGAGTTCCGCAGCCATCTATTCATCAATATGTTGTTTAATTATGATATTAACCTGGCTCACTCAAATGTGAGTTACTCTCATTAGTTTAAAAACTACATGGTTCAGGTGAATGTCTTATTACTTAAACAGTTCAACAGTATATTGCTGAGTAGATGGCTGCGAAACTCGCTGCGCTCGTCCCGCAGAAGTTCCGTAACAATTAATCCACTTATTTGTACTTGAATAATAACTTATTATATAAAATCAAAATTTGTAAGATTATGATTATTCATTTTTTATCAATTCGCCTTTCAACAGGAATAAGTAATGTAAGTAAACTTTACCAAACTAGTAATATATTGTGACAAGTTATTTAAATACAAATGAGTGAATTGTTGCGAAACTTCCGGGTGGACCTCTGCGGGATGAGCGCAACGAGTTCCGCAGCCATCTATTCATCAATATGTTGTTTAATTACGCTATTAACTTGATTCACTCAAATGTGAGTTATTCTCATTAGTTTAAAAACTACATGTTTCAGGTGAATGTCTTACTTGAACAGTTCAGCAGTATATTGGTGACTAGATGACTACTTTTTATTCACAGATCACATTTAGAACCAATTTAGAATTTAGAATTTGTAGACTTTAAACACAAAACTTATGATTATTTCAATATCCGTAGAACTTGTTTAGATCTGATCCGGAAACCGGAATCTAGAACTGAAACAGAACATTCATCAGAATTTAATGAACCTCGAAAGATATAATTCAAATTTTGGATCCGAACTCTTCCGAATCAGTTCTGAATCGAATAGCTAACGAAGTTTTATTCACGGATCACATTTAGAACCAGTTCAGAATAATTATCGTAGACTTTAAAAGTGAAACCTATGATTCTTTTAATAACCGTAGAACTTGTTCAGATCTGATCCGGAAACCGATTCTAAAACTGGAACAAAAAACTCATCAGAATTCAATGATTTTCGAAAGATATAATTCAAATTATGGATCCAAACTATTCCGAATCAGTTCTGAATCAAATAGCTAACGAAGTTATATTCATGGATCATATTTAGAACAAATTTGAAACTAGCTTACAAAAATTGTCGTAAACTTCAAAAATGAAACTTATGATTCTTTCAATATCCGTAGAACCTGTTCAGATTTGATCTGGTAACCGATTCTAGAACAGAAAACTCAGAATTCAGAGTTTCAAGTCTATCTAATACTCTGGAGTATTTTTTAGGATTTTTCAAAGGTGATATAACATGAATTTTCGAATTTTTTCTGGTATTAAGTTGGAAAAAACCTCATAATTTTATTTCTGAGCTTCAGATTGACTTCAAATTTGCCTTGCTTGATGAAAACGTCCTGGTTAATAAATCCTGGAAGTATGAAATCGATCTGATACTGCGAAGTATTTTTCAGGAGGATTTTTCATGACAAATTAAAAATATTTTGTTTCATTTCTCTGATAGATTTTGGTTTGGTGGCTGTGAATTCCGTCTATTTTTTTGGTTTAGTTGCTTCCACACGGAGTTGTGACCACTCAAAATGTTGTAAATTTCTGTAATGACAGGAAGAAGGTCATTGTTTTTTATAAACAGGCTCCGAGAGCTTCGACATTTTCCATAGAAATTATGTAGATTTTCTAGTTGAAATTATCATGATGTCAGACTTGGACTCGTCGGTTTGGCAAAGTCAAGATTACGCACGTTTATGTGTAAAACTGAACTTACATTATACATTCGAATGTTGTTTCTATTCCAGGCGCTTGAATTTTCTTTATTCGGAGAAATTTAGGAAAGATTCAAGAGCCGAAAATAGACAAAAATTGAACCAAGAAAACTGACGATATTACACGCTTTCCGGACACGTTTCAGTTAAGGAAGTAGGTATATTTTCCTGTCTAGGCCAGAAGGTGAAATACGTCCGGAAAGTATGTACTTTTTGAACCATTATCGAAAAAATAGTGTTCCTATTTGGTGTTAATTTGGGAAATGAAGCACATTTGAAGCACGTTTGCACCAAGTGACATTTCTCTATGTCGAAATGTCATTTTAGGGAATACCTATGGTTAAGACTTCCTTAAAACGGTTGGTGTAGATGCCCATATGTACTTCTTTTCTATATCGATACTTGTATAAAAAAATATCGATATTTTTGATGCGATATTTTGTTTGAAATCGATTTTAATTGTTCCCGATTCTTGAATTTGTCTAAATAAAGAAAACTCCAGAGCCTTTTTTTCTAAATTTCTGTCTATTCTCGGTTTTTGGTTAAGATTACTAAAACATTCCTTTAGTACGTCTATAAATATTCAACTTGTTGTTCAAGTACAAATGGGTAGATTGCTGCGGAGCTCGGTGCGCTCGTCCCGCAGAGGTCCATTCATAAGTTCCGCAACAATCCATTTATTTGTACTTGAACAATAACTTATTATATAGAGTCAGAATTTGTAAGATTATCCACTTTTTGTCAATTCGCCTTTCAACCGGAATTAGTAATATTACTTTACCATACTAGCAATATATTGTGACAAGTTATTCAAGTACAAATGAGTGAATTGTTGCGGAACTTATGGGTGGACCTCTGCGGGACGAGCGCAGCGAGTTCCGCAGCCATCTATTTATCAAAATGTTGTTTAATTACGATATTAACCTGATTCACTCAAATGTGAGTTATTCTTATTAGTTTAAAAACTACATGGTTCAAGTGAATGTCTTACTTGAACAGTTCAGCAGTACCTATATTGGTGAGTAGATGGCTGCGGAACTCGCTGCGCTCGTCCCGCAGAGGTCCACCCATAAGTTCCGCAATAATCCACTTATTTTATTTGTACTTGAACAATAACTTATTATATAAAATCAGAATTGGTAAGAATATGATTTTTCACTTTTTGTCAATTCGTCTTTCAACAGGAATTAGTAATGTTACTTTATCAAACTAGTAATAGGTATATTGTGACAAGTTATTCAAGTACAAACGATGAGTGGATTGTTGCGGAACTTATGAGTGGACCCAACCATCTATTCACCAATATGTTGTTCAAAATACAAGTACAATACTAACCTGATTCACTCAGTTATGAATTTTTCTCATTAGTTCAAAAACTACTATACGTTTCAGGTGAGTATTTTTTTTTGAACAGTTCAACAGTAGGTAGGTAGCTATATTGGTGAGTAGATGGCTGCGGAACTCGCTGCGCTCGTCCCGCAGAGGTTCACCCATAAGTTCTGTAATAATCCACTTATTTGTACAGGATGTTTTTTTATATATTGACACCCCACCTACCTTCTTTACCTTTACAGGTAAAACAAAGATGTAAATACAAAAGTTGTACAGTTTTGGCTGAATTTTTAGAAACCATGGTCAGACACAAAATTTGAATGTCAGAAATGTGAAATTTTGCATGCTTCTAGCTTTTTTCAAATGGGATGCCCTATATTTCATTCTATATTCTTGAAGAGCACAATGCCCCGATTCCAAAAATATATAATTTGTTTATATTTGATTGAACAGTTTCTCATATATTCGGCTCCAAAAATTGTAAAAATATCTTACTACTGATTTTGTGAACCATTCTACCTGTACAGGTGAAAGCTGCAGGTAAAATTTGAGGTACTTGGTTTCTCTGATAGTATTTTTAAAATTTCTAGAACCCAATATGTTGAAGTCGGCGATTCCAAAATTATATAAATTTTGGAATCGGGAAATTGTACTTACTCTTCAAGAATATGGAACCAAATATAGGACATCCCATAGGTAGTGCATATTTGATAGGAATATCTTATGTGAATCTAATAAACTATTTCTCATAATAAGTAGTATTGGTGTTTGATTTTCTAATGAAATTTTTCATAATCTAATATACAGTCTAATGATTTAATGATTTGAAAAAACGTAGTTAAGATAATTAATTGAGTATACCCTAATGGTTTACTCCTCAAGACAACTTATCTGTCTACTGATATTTAGACTGGTAATTTACTGACAAAACAAAATATATGACTTGGTAACACTGGGTATGACACAACCCCTATCCCTGGGGGGCTATGAAGCTACGGAGATGAAAAATAAGAAATATTTCTCCCTCAAATCAAAAATCAGCGTGTCCAAGCGTTTTTCCAGATTTTCATGTTAAATCGAAAAAATCGTGCTAGATTGTTTTCCCTGGGACACCCTGTATACGTTCTTTTCAAATATTTCAATCCTCTCTATAATAGATTGTCCACTCTGAGTACTTATTACATACCACGTGACGGTTCCTTACAGTCTTACTTAGATTATATAACCCTTTTGCCCAACATTGACCGGCCTGAGTCATTTGGCCAGCATCCAAACGCCGACATAACTTCTCTTATTAGTGAAGCCAGAAACATGTTTGAAACTTTAATGTCTTTACAAATTCAGGTAAACTAACTCATAACTAAAACAGATATTGATTTATTAATGATAATTTATTAGAGTTCAATTGAGGGTGGCGAGTCCAAAGAATCCAAAGTTACATTGCTTGCTACAGACGTTCTTTCCAAGCTACCCTTGCCAATAGACTACGAACGAACAGATAAACTTACTGGAGCCAATAAGAAACCACTAGATGTGGTGCTACTGCAAGAAATCAGCCGATACAATCTTTTATTGGACGAAATCAAAACATCTTTGGAGGACTTGCAAAAAGGCATCAACGGTTTGGTGGTGATGTCGTCAGAGTTGGAAGAAATCTTTTACTGCATTTATGAAGGCCGGGTTCCTTCAGGTTGGCTGAAAGCCTATCCTTCGCTAAAACTTTTGGGTTCTTGGACAAGGGATCTAGTTGCCAGGGTTGAACACTTTTCGAATTGGGCGCTTACTGTACACCCGCCCATGTTGTTTTGGTTGGCCGCTTATACTTTCCCTACTGGATTTTTGACAGCTGTATTACAGGTAATTTTGCAAGTTTTACAATTTGTTGCTACTTTAGGCTTTTTTTTAAGACTGCAGCGCGTATGAAGGAAGTACCCATAGACACTCTAAGTTGGGAGTTTACCGTTTTGACAGTTGAGGAGAGTTCAATTCAAACAGCGCCTGAATCGGGAGTTTACGTGAAAAGTATGTTTCTAGAAGGCGCTGGTTGGAATAAGAAAAATGCTGTTTTAATAGAACCTCAACCTATGCAATTAGTGTCTCCCATGCCTTTAATTCACTTTAAGCCTAATGAAGTAGTTAAAAAAAAAGCCAAAGGTTTGTGGTACAATAACTATTATCAAACATCAATAAGTTGTTTTATATTTGAGGTTTATATTTGTGTCCAGTGTACTATTTCCCTATAAGAACAGGTGCTGCTAATCGCCCTGCATATGTTGTAGCAGTTGATTTGAAATGTGGCATGGAAGGATCAGATTATTGGATAAAAAGAGGAACAGCACTTTTACTTAGTTTAGGAAATTGATTAGTTTAGGAGTTTGGTTAATAATAAAACAATATTTTTTATAATAATTATTTTATTGTGTCAAAAACTCAAGCGGCATGAATTTGGTCTTGCACTTTTTTCCATGCCTGAAGCGGTCCATGTTCTGGCCTGTACCTGACGTTACAGCCGTCATTAGCCAAACGACCTTGGGCTCTCAATTCGTCAAACTCTTCCCTTTCGTATTTGGTGAAACCAAATTTCTTTGATACGTAGATCTTTTGACGGCCGGGGAACTTGAACTTGGCACGACGCAAAGCTTCAATAACTTGAGCCTTGAAACGGTCAGTGGAACGGACACTCATGATTGGTTGTCCGATGCGGACACGCGCGACGGTTCCTTGGGGCTTACCGTAAGCACCTCTCATTCCAGTTTGGAGCCTGAAATAGTTGTTTTTGTATTGTCTTGTTTGGAGTGTTTTTAGTTTTTTTTTTACCTATCAGCTCCAGCACATGACAACATCTTGTTGATTCTGATTACGTGGAATGGGTGGAGTCTCATACGGATGTGAAATTGATCTTTACCGCAGTTTTTGACCAAGTATTTGTTACAGCAAATACGTCCAGCTTCCAGAGCTTCAGAACTAAAAAAATAGTTCTTGGGTTGTGTGTTGATTTCAGGGTGGATAAAAAATCTTATTTATGATAAACATTTTGTTAAGCTAGTCAGAAGGTATAGTAATGAAGCTAGATGTTGAAGTATTATGGAAATCACTGATTGATTTTTTACATAGTTGTTTGATAAGGGTAGCTTTACTTTGAGGTAAGCTGTACTTGTAGTTATGGTAAAAGGATGTCAGAGCCTGATAGGAACAGATATTAAAAATGAAGAGCGATCCACCTCTGCTGGTTTATCCCCTCTAATTAGGTTGTAAAATTGTTACAGATTGATACTTCATCCGAAACTTTATCTTGTTATGACCTTTGAAAAATTGAAACTTCAAGACAAACGCTGCAATCGATTCACATGTCAACGCACCCATTGAACTTGTCATATGAGTAAGAGGCAAATAGATAGATAGATATAGTCTTTCGTTTCTCAAATGAGACAAGGCAAAAATTAGGGTCTCCTCAAATTATCGTATTGCCCGTTAAAATTATTATACTATTATTAGGAAAAATATATTGAGCGTGCCCGTATACATTGGATGCAACTCCACGTGCGAACAATGCATCTTATTGGTTGTTTTATACAGTCAACGTTGACTCCAGGAATATCTTATTGGTTAGAAATTTTAACGGCATATTTGGCGGTATATTTCTTTGAAGTGGCGGCGTCTTTGGCGGCATATTTCTTTGTAGCGGCCGCCTTTTGCGAATCAGTTTCGTCTGGAAAGACAGTGCAGTAGATAGTTTTTTTAAATTTGATTCCTATTTGAGTTGTATCGTGCCTCATTTTTTATTTTATATAAAACTGTTTTGATAAATTTCTCTTAGACGCCCGTGCTTCATAAAGAAAACGCCGACGGCCAAAGGAATATTTTTTTTTACTGTCTCATTTGACTATCGATAGACTATAGACGAGTTGCAACCCTCAGTCAAATAAATGACAGGTTCAGAGGGGTGGGCGGGTCTTGTTTACACCTCTGATGCATCCCCACCACCTCTTCTGGTCCATTGGGTGGTCTTATCATCACAACAAACATCAGTTTATGAAGGAGATGCTTTGTCTATCTGTGTGTCATTGATGTTAATGCAGTAGAAAAAATATTTCACGAAATTAGGACTCAAGAAAAGTATTAACACAAATTCAAATATATTCAGATTAGGAGAGGGAGTAGTGATAATAATATACTTGAATGTAGTTGTATGAAAGTAGTATTATATAGATCAGTAACATGTTGTTAAATGGCACTACTAGTATTAAAACTTGATTTTTTGTAAAGGGTGTAAAGTTATAAAGTACCACCCCCTGTAACTTTTTTATTTTTGACTATACATGAAAAACTTACAGGGGTTGGTACTTTAAAACTCGACACCTGGTACCAAGTTTGTTATTGGATTTTGATCAATTTTTGATGTAATGAGATGGTTTGTTTATATTGTCAAAAGTAGCTTATCGAGTATTTCCTTAGAGCAGGTAAAGTGCTGTCCTACCATGTGAGGTGCGAACATAAGGAGTAGGAACGCGCCATTCTGCTTATGAAACAAGTCAAGTGTTTGGCACCAAAATACAGGTAAAGCATTGAATATACCGCCATTTTTTTGGTGCCAAAATACCTGGAAAAAAACGGCTTCATTTTCCAACTTCATGTTACTACTCCTCTTCACCTTTACCTGCTCTAAGAGTATTTTCCATTGGTATTTCCTAAGTTAAATAAATACATCATTCATAAAATGAGACAGTATCATATGTATGTGGTCCATTTTTTGGGCAGATGATAGGTTTGAAGAAAAAACAGTATTGAAAATCCCAAAAATTCTTCAATTTATATACTACCGGTTTCGAATTTTTAAAATTGAAAAATACCACAATGAGCATAGGTTGTATTATTTTTGTTAAATCAATCAACCTCTAAACCTGGGTATATTAATCTTAATTTCTAAAAAACTGTAATTTACATATTTAATAATAATGAGAGTTGTCAAAATCAGGTCGATTCGGAGGAACAATACCTGGGCATTAGGCAAAAATTGTCAATAAGGGATGTTACTCTTTCGAGTGCTATACTCATGTCCAAAAACAGGAAGGTCGGTTGATATTTTAGTCTGAAAAAATTCAGGAAAATTATTGAAATTTATTAGAAGTAAAAATTCGATAAATTTTCAAACGGTTGGAAGTTTTTTATCGTTTTTTTTTTATCAATACGGAAAAAATATCCACTATGTGAAAAATTTCTTTATTTGTCAAAATGGTGTCTCTTCAGAACATGTTTTTTCTTTCGTTTGTTTTTTGTTTTTTTGGCTTCTTGGGATTTCTTATAGTTGTGTAGATATTAATGTATATAGACGAAAAACAATGACATATATATTTTAAAAACATGACTAGAAATAATTAATTTTAAAAAGGTGTAAAAGGACGAATATCACATTTTTTTGGACTCAATTGGGTTAAATTTTTCAAATAATCAATAGAGGTCACCACATATACGTTGTGCTCTCAGAGCGAATTCTCATGAGCGTAAGTTGACATTTCCGGCGTAATCACGTGATAAAATGGTTGGGTTTTATTGGAGACATATTTGACATGTTGGATATTTTACCAATCAAATTACACCATATTATCACGTGATTACGCCAGAAATGTCAACTTACGCTCATGAAAATTCGCCCTCACTCTAAAAAGAGCACGTGACCTGAACCAACAAATATAAATAAATAATAATTTAAAAAAAGTCCTATCAGTACTGTCAGTGTTGTATTGTGTTTTACACCTTTTTAAAATTAATTATTTCTAGTCACATTTTTAAAATATACAGGGTGTCCCACGACGTTTTTCCCAGATAATAACTTCGGAACACATCATCCAATGGAACTGAAATTTTCAGGATCTGGGTAACTTTTGGTGCCGCTTCTACCATTGTCATTCAGTTTCACCACTTTCGCTTCAATTTAAGTCAAGTGACGTCAACTTTAAAATCTTAAATGTAACTCATGGTATATTATGGCATATTTCGTTAGAAAATTAAATTACAAAAGCGGCAATGCCATATTTGTTAAGGCTTTGTTAAAGAAAATGATAAAAAATTTTACAGTGGAACATACGATCATACATTCTGAAGTTATCATTTGGGTAAAACCTCGTGGGACACCCAGTATATGTTATTGTTTTTCGTCTATATACATTAATATCTACACAACTATAAGAAATCCCAAGAAGCCAAAAAAACAAAAAACAAAAGAAAGAAAAAACATGTTCTGAAGAGACACCATTTTGACAAATAAAGGTATTTTTCACATAATGGATATTTTTTTTGTATTGATAAAAAAACGATAAAAAACTTCCAACCCTTTGAAAATGTATCGAATTTTTACTTCTAATAATCAAATCAAATCAAATCAAATCAAATTATGCTTTATTGTCCCAACTAAATTGTTATTGACAAAGCAGCCTTATTAACTAACATCAGTACTTATACTATGTCATAATCATAACATGAGAAAAAATCTTTTAAATGCCTTAAGTACTACATTACAACAATACTGTTCCTATCACAATCTACCATTATTATTGCCTTAAAAACTAAAAATCAGTCGTTTTCAGTCGTCTTTAAAAAATAAAACAAAAATAAAAAAAGTAAAAAATAGACAACGGACTCAGAAGTTTGAACAATAAAACAAATTAACAACTATAACGCACACTACAAACAGAACAATCCAGAAAAAAAAAAAATCTAAAACCTGTCCGCCAGAAATTCATCAATTTCGTAATATGTCTTTTGGGCAAGCAGCGCCCTGACGCCCCTACGAAACTGTCGTTCAGTCTTTATTTGTTTAAGACCCGACGGCAAATGATTGAACAACTTGCGACTTCTGAAAATGATAGAGTCTCTTACCTGGCTGGACGTGGGTATAGGAAGGCTAACATCATTTTTCTGTCGAGTGTTATGGGTTGTATGCGATATGAATATACTGCTTTTGTGTTTCCTGTGAATTAAGCAGACCGATTCCAACACAAATAATGCAGGGAGAGTCAAAATATTTTTAGAAATGAATAGCGGCCTGCAAGAATCGCGTGGGTTGGCTCCACATAAATATCTAATTGCTCTTTTCTGCAGCAAAAAAATGCCATTAAATAACTGCTTAGAGCAAGTACCCCAGAAACACAGCCCATACCTCAAATGAGACTCTAACAGAGCAAAATAAGTATTTCTGGCAATACATGGTTCCAGTTCCCTAGAAATAACTCTAAGTGCAAAACAATTAGATGCCAACCTATTCCTCAAACACTTCAAGTGTGCTTCAAATTTCAGACAATTATCTATCCAGAGACCCAAAAATTTATTTTCCACAGATGGAGTTAATAAACTGTCATTCAGACTGATGTCAGTAAGGTTACATCTAAAATTCATTACATTTGTTTTAGAAATATTTAATGGCAGCCCATTAGCGTCACACCAGTGTTTAATCACACCTATGTCATTACTGACCGCATCCCGTAATCTAGAGCTGTCAGAATTATGCCACAATATTGTTGCATCATCAGCAAACAAAGTGAAATTGCCAGAGATATCAAGGCCTGCGAAGTCGTTGATATATAACAAAAATAAAACTGGACCCAAAACAGAACCCTGAGGAACGCCACAATTCAACACTTGCTCGCCAGACATTGAACCATCAAAAGAGACCCTCTGTGTCCTGCCTGACAAATAACTCTCGAACCAGTTGAGAGCGTTTCCTCTAAATCCGTATGATTGCAGCTTCCACAACAATTTCCCATGATCAACACAGTCAAATGCCTTTGACAGATCACAGAAAACCGCTGCTGCCACATCAGCATGGTTAAGATTCAGGTACAGCGATTCCAGAAACGAGAAAATGGCATCAAATAAATTTCAATAATTTTCCTGAATTTTTTCAGACTAAAATATCAACCGACTTTCCTGTTTTTGGACATGAGTATAGCACTCGAAAGAGTAAAGGCTGGTTCATGCATGAAAATATTTTCCGTTTCTGTAACTTAGAGCGGGTATTATAAAACTGCTTTGACAGTTAACTTAAAGTTAACTTTTGAAATTACATGTAATTCCAGAAGTTAACTTTAAGTTAACTCTCAAAGTAGTTTTATAATACCCGCCCTTAGTCGCTATCTATATTCGTAAGTAATGTATAAGTTGCATGTTTTTATATGCAGGTGTTCATGCACATTACTTTTCCGTATCATTTTCTTTATTCTCTATTGAAGATAGTTAACTTTTATCTTATACGGATAAAGTTACGGATAAAATCGACGGCACCTGCGAAGTAGATGAAAGCATACAAATTTCTCGACTTAATCTCAAAAACAGGAAATCATTAAAAGTAAACAACAAATACGTCTTGTAATGCGTGTCTGGAATTGGAAATAATATTTTCCTACGAGCGTGCGCAAAGTAGTACTTTTCCGCACGCATTTCGGTTCTCAAAGTTGCACTTTTCCGCACTCAGTGCGGATACAGGCCTTATCCGCACTGAGTGCCGAAAAGTAAAAATAATTGTCAAGCAACAATAAGTACACTTGTCGACTTTGACACATGATGACAAATTTTTCCTCTGTTTCTGTACCAGCTAACATCTATACCTACAAACACCAAATTTAATTAACTTCAACACATTGTCAGATTTGTTTTCTATTTATATGCAAGAATCTACAAACTTTCTCATCAAATTTATAGCGTTTTCCATTTGTCGAAACAGGGCAAAAAAATGTATCCTTATCCTTACATGTTACATGCTTTTAGAAAAAGATGCGGATGCACTCAGTGCGGCACTGATGACAAATGGAAATCGCCATTAAACGCTTTAAGATGAAGAGCTCTGACGATGATTTTCTGTTATATTTTTTTTTTGTTATGTAATTTTTTGATAAATGCATAGGTTCCCTTCAAGTTAATTAAAAATAATTAAACAAATTATCGTTTTTTTTTTGATTTTTGTTGTTACCTACCTGATATGAAGCTCGTAGGAAAAATTTTGTTCCTAACACGTGCGCAAAGTGTCTTTTCCGCACGCAAACACGTATCCGAACTCCGCTTCGCGTCGTTCGTATAACTGTGTTTGCGTGCGGAAAAGTAACACTTTGCGCACTTGTTAGGAAAATAACTATTATAACACCCTGATAAAACCAAATATAATGTCAATTGACATAGGAAATCTTATTGAAACTGTTCTGGGTTCGCAGTTTCCCATACACGTCAACAATGTCTTTATTAAAGACTAATAAAAACTCTTAATTTTTGGTGCATGAAATACCTTAAATTTTACGGAAAAAGAAAAGCGTCATTTGACACAAACACAAAACATAACGTCATTAGGTTATGTCATTAATGATCATAATCAAATACTCATTTTCTATTGTGTGCGTCTCAATTTTTGGCCGTTTCTACCCAATTACGGAATCCCTATTGTTTCGGCAAGATTGCTCTACCTACATTTCACTTGGACACCCAGGACCTACCCTTAAAATGTGAAAATATTTATTTGTTGCAACTCCACCGTCCAGTGTTGTGCTACCTACTTTAAATAATGGATACAGGAGCATCTACAGAAAGACGATGAAACAGGCAAGGAAGATTTACTACAATGAGAGGTTGGGCATCCGCATCCAATAAAAAAAAAGAGTAACGATCTACGCGAAAGAAAAAAAGAAATATACATATGTGCTTCCAATTTGAAAGCAGATAATATCAATTCATACTACTGTACGATTGCTCAGAAACTGAGTATTAAAAATAGAAAATCTTCTGGATGGGACGATATCTCAGTTAGGCTGTTGATGTGTTGGCGGATTCCATTATTAATTCTTTTCTTACTGGAAGTTTTCCCTCATTTTTGAAGCAATCTTGGGTAGTACCTTTGTTTAATAGGGGGGTGATAAGAATTTACCATCTTATTACCGGCCAAAATCCTTACTGGCAACTTAAACTAAAATTGTAGAGTGGCTAATTAAGGTGGATGGAGCTTCCTTGATAGACATAAATTGCTTTCTCTGTCTCTGTTTCAGCAGTCAAAAAACACTGATGATGCCATATTTCATCTCTTGGATGAGCTGTATTAGAAGATAAATGACGAAGAAGTGGCCGCGGTAGTTTTTTGTGACCTAAAAAAAGCTTTCGATTGTGTCTGTCATGAAGTACTGCTTCTAGGGGTGCAGTACTTCAGAGGGGTTGGATATCACTGCAGGAGTGCCCTAGGGATCTGTTCTATTTCTAACATTAAGAAAAATACGAGTAAAAAGAACGAGTATCAAAACGCAAATGAACAATGAGCACTATTTTTTTTGAAAAAAAATTTCATGACACATTGAATGACACATAAAAAAAGGGTTTGTGTGCCTCTTGGCGGCCATTTTAATTCAAGTTTGACAGCATCTTGGATAGTTCAATTGACAATTTTTGCCTAATGCCTCAGCCTCTTGATTGATTTAAAGAAAATAATACAACCTGTGCTCATTGTGGTATTTTTCAATTTTAGTCTTTTATGCCTGAAGATGAAGCATTAGGCAATTCAATCCATCTGTCAAAACGGAAAATTCAATGTGGCGTGGCGGCCAAGCAAGTTTGTTTTGGATATGTTTTTATACGTATTTTAAATTATTTTGCATACAGTTTTGCTTACAATTTTGATTTTCATTATTTAATAAAATATTTGTTGACTTAGGTACCTGAATTATTAATTCCGGCAGAAACTAGATATTTTTTTGTTTTTTGGCCTATGTGTGGCCGCCATGCCATCTTGAATGTCACCTGGTTTGAATTGCCTAATTGAAGCTTGGAAACCGGTAGTATATAGATTTAAAAAAATTTGGGATTTTCAAGACTGTTTTCTCTTCAAACCTTGTCTGTCACTGTTTATTCTATACCTCAAAATAGAGAGAAGTATAGATGTTGAGTTAGAATATGTCATTGGCTAGAACATAGCTGTTAAAATAACAGGATAGGGATAGGATACACATCATAGGCCTGATTATAAGAGAATAGGAACTGCTTAAATTTATAAAATAATAGCTGCTTACGAATTACGAACAGACCACTTTCTGACCTAACTTGGAGAAAAAATCTGAACAGTGCGAAAAAAAAAAATCTTTATCCTTATGTTTTACATGTTATTAGAAAAAGATGGGAATATACTCAGTGCACACTGATCGATAAAGGGAAATCAAAAACTTCAACATAGGTCAGAAAATGGTGAGTTTGTAAGCAGCTAATGTTTCTAATCTAATCGGAAATGCCATCAAATAAACAAAAAGATTAACTTCAATCCATACCTGAGCTGTTCATATTCATCAGAAACCAAATGGACGCAAAGGGGGAAGTCGTCAACTCCGGCTCTCTTCTTTCCCAAATCGAAAATCCTGATCTTGGGGTCTGGGACACCACGACAGAACCGCGATTTTGGGTAGGGCTTGTTTTTACAATAACGATAACTAATTTTAATGAAAAAAAAAATTAATTGGTACTTAATTATGTTGCAATATTATTCAAAAGAAGCTTGTCATCATGATTTGCTAAAAAAAGGTACTATTGTCTGAAGGCTAACATAATATTGATGATATTTTTCTGTCCTAAGCAAATAATTACATAATTTTTCATGGGAATTGCTACCCCTTTCCAGTTAGAATGTACAATTATTCGGAAAATAAAATAATAACAAAAATGTCCACTTACCATCTTGCGGGACGTCGCCCCATTTTTATGCCTGAAACAGAACAAATCAAAATTAAAACCAAAAAATATGTATGTAGCCTTTTGCACAAGGCTTCGATGTACACAAATATCGATATTTATAAAGATTTTCTATGAGGATTATTAAGATTTTTTAAGAAATTCAAGACACCAACCTTCAGTTTCTAAACTGGGCAAAAGAAAGAAAAATACACACAGAAGACAGAAGTTTGGTTATGTTGATAAAGTTGGAGTTGACGTTTCGAGCTACTGTATTGTTTCTATCTCTGTCTTTCTCATCGAAAGGAAAAAAGATGGAAGCTGATTCGAGCTTTCATTTTAAAACGAATTCACAAGTTATGACAATTCGATGAAACATGCATTCAACCGACGTAACATTTTAAAATGGCCAAATCCATATTTTATTCTAGACACAAAACTTTGGAACCAGGGATACTGTGATCTTTTGATGAAATTTAAACCCTTCCAAACTCCCAATGGCAATAATAATTTTAGAAAACATTTTATTAACAAACATTAAAACAGAAAATATCCTATAATTACTCAAATTTTTTGAGGCCTAGCTCCAAATATAGATGATCCAACTCTAACATTAGTACTCCCAAGCTCTATAGCCATTTCGTAATCTGTAGACATCCCCATTGATAGTTCCAAGTCCCTCCAATCCAGCCCCAATTCTTTACAACAATCATCTCTGCATTTTTTCAAACATACAAAGTCTGGATTGGGTCCAAGGGTCATATCATAGTCGTACACCCCAATAGTCATTAGACCTTTTAAGTTCAAGTTTTTACAATCTTTCAAAATGTATTCAGCTAAACTATTGACTTCAGATGGATTAATTCCATTTTTTTGATCTTCTTGGCTTGTGTTGACCTGTATGAAGACGTTGAGTTTTGTATCAGGAGGGCTAAAGTTGGGCCAGTTTTTGTTCAATTGGGTGGCCAACTTTTTCGAGTCAAGAGTTTCTATTAAGTAAAGATTTGGCACGGCCAAGACTTTATTGACTTTGTTGGATTGTAGGTGGCCAATGAAATGCCATTTGATGTCTTTGCACTTTTCCAGAATGTCTGGACTGTGGGATTTTTCGTCTAGTTCTTTTACGTAGTTTTCTCCAAAGTGTCTTTGACCTACAAATGATTGAGAGTGGATGAATATTATGTATAGTTGTGGAAATAAGAAATAATCTTACCCTCCTCGTATGCTTGTATTATTAGTTCATTGGGTTTGATTTTGCTGACAGCGACCAAACGTGGTTTTATATCTTCAAACTCTGAACTTCTTCTGGCACAAGCTTCTTCAATTTTTTGTAAAACACTTCGAATACCTTGTTTTACATTTATTTCAGCCATGGCTCTGATCATTATTTCATAATTCAATTATTTGTTATAATGAATATTTTATCATTAATTATATAGGGAGATAAATTAATTACCTAATTCAAAAACAAACTGATTTTTTCACTTTTTTGTATCTTCAGTCCTCTCTCACATCTTCCTCAACCGGATCTAGAAGGATTATTGAGCGGATTTGAAGTGCACTGAGTCTATGCTTGTCTTTTTCTACCAGCTTGTATAAGAAAGAGATAAAAACATATTGTTTTCTGCACTGCTACCAATAGAATTCGCAAACAGAAAAATAATTGAGGTTGTGTTATTAATAATTTTTATTTTGAAAACTGGAAAGTAGGAAAAGATTGAAAAGATGAATATTACCTTAATAAAAACAGTAAGTATACCATAATTCTAATGCCCGTATTACATCTGTGTATTTTTCCGTGTATTTATTCATGTAGTTCAGGGTGCCAACATTATTTTGTTTTTCATAATGCTGATTTATATTGCGTTTGAAGTTTTTCGGTTGTCACCTTGAACTACATGAATAAATACACGAAAAAATACACAGATGTAATATGGGCATAATAATAATAAAACCAAGTATTCATTGGTCTGGATTGCAGATTCCCAATATCCTAAAATTCCCAGCAGCTAATTCGGCAAGGCTTCTCCACCTTACAGCAGTCTCTAACAAAAACCAAGCAGGAAGATATAAAAATACCCCGAGAAAAAACTTCCCTCTCACCTACGAAATGGCTAACCCACCTCATCAGATAGCTCACAGGAAGTCCTGGAATTCCTGGAACACTTGTAGGTATTCCATGGCAATTCAGTGCATGAATTTAATCAGTTTCTTGTAGCAAATGTAGAAGGAGGCAATAGACCATCAGAAACAGCTGTAGAAGACCAATTTATAAGAAAATTTGTGCAAGGTACTTGGCACGCTCTATTTGTAAGTGAAATCATTATTAAAAGACAACACAATCTTATAAGGATAGCTGGATTGGTGCATAGAGGAGTGATGCCAAGAAAAATGTATTTTTTAATTGGTTATACGGAAGAGTTTTTGAGTTTTTGGTTGCAGTGTCCTATCAAAATGGAACTACAGAGTGTAGCAGATAAACGACATGTAGTATTCAAATATGTATAGAAACTTCATTTAAAGTAATATATAAATTTATAAATGGTATCACAGGCTCCTTTAATTTCCTTGATTCATGAAATGTAAATATTCTTTGTGCTTATAGTCGTAGATAAAGCATAGTATTTGACTCGCGTATAATGGCTATATTATAGCCTACATTATACATTATATAAATAATATACTATTTTTCAATAAATGCAAAATTTAAAATAAATCCCGCCAATAATTAAAAATACTACGTCCGCTGAATGCAACAGTGGGCCTTTGAAACGTTGACCTGATTAACCAAATCACCAACAGTTTGTTTTTTATCTTTCTTTGATGAACAGAATTGAAAAAAGACAAAAAATATCAGTGTGTGATTGATCCCGATCGGGGTTTCCGAAAAGTCCTTGTGACACTTCAAATCTGACAGGCTGCCAGGCAAACGTCAAACGTTGCAAGTTTTTGTTGTAAATATATAAAATTTATAAATTTTATTTATTTGTGAATTGTGATATCATTTTATGGGTTGGGTTCCTAGTACTACTGTGGTACTATTTACATAGAAATACCCAAAAAAAATGGTCATATGAATATTGAATAATATGCCATGGGTACGTATTATAATTATTAATTTATTGTGGTCAAAACATAGAATTTTTAATTTTTTTCTTTAGTTGAAGTACTAGTAGAATACGATTATACAGCTAAAGAGCCCGATGAGCTTACCATAAAGAAGGGAGATATTATTAAAGATGTAACACAAAAGCCTGGTAGGATTTTTAAATAATTATTTAGTCTAAAAGACTTGTGCGTGCCCTATATTTGTTTATTTATTTTGTTAACCCCATTCTACACAAAAATATGTTATATTTGCTTATTCATAAGCCCAATAGTTGCTTATCTATTTAAGGTGGATGGTGGGAAGGAACGCTGCACGATAAAAAAGGAGTATTCCCAGATAATTTTGTCAAAATATTAGAAAAGGATTCCGTAATATTAAGAAATAAAAAAGATTCTACAAGGTATTTATTTACTACTTTTTTAAAAACAAAAACACCTTAATAACAGAATTTTTTTTTAGAATAAGACAGTGTAGAGTTGTCTTCAGCTACAACCAAGACCATGAAGACGAGCTCAACCTTAAAGTAGGTGATATAATAGGTATAATTGGTGAAGAAGAAGAAGGCTGGTGGAGGGGTAGATTAAACGGCAAAGAAGGAGTGTTTCCTTCAAATTTTGTAGAAGAAATTATTACGCCTGTGCAAAGTAGACCTAAGCCTAGCATCAGAGATGATTTGGCCAAGATTAGTGAACCTGTACCCGCTTTACCAGCAAAACCAGGTAAGAATTTTTAGTATTTATATTGAATGCTTTCTTATCTAATAAATGTGACAGTTGAAGGCCTTTAGCTTCTCTAGATAGGTACCTACTTGAGAAGATTATGATAAGAAAATCAATATTTATTTTTACAAATTATAAATTATTATTTATTTATTTATTTATTCAATATCCTCTACATCTTGCATTTACAGAGAATGTCTAAAACTAGAAACTACCCAACAACCCTAATATCCTAATCTACTTTGTACCTCCTTAAGTAAAATTATTTTACTTTAAAAAATATCACAAGTTGTTTCATTGATTATATCACACATTCTTACTATAGATGAGGTAAACTGCCTATTTGTTTTTGGTGCATCATAAGTCAATATCTCTGATTGTCTAGTTCTCATATCTGGTACACAACAGATTTTCACCTTTCACATGATAATGAAGAAGATAATACAAAAATATTACGTTAAAATATTTTCTTCTTACATCTAACCTACTGTAACCATGTTGTATACACAACACATCATAATATGGTACATCAACCAGGTAAACCCTGAATCTCTTAAAGTGTATTCTTTTCAAAAATTTCTTTTGACAATTTTCTATTGCATGGATTGACCTCTGATAACATGGGTACCATACAACTGACACATATTGTAACTTTGTCCTTGCTAGTGAATCATACAAAAGTTTGACTGTAGAAATGCCCATATCTTTTGTGTTACGATAGATAAACCCTATAATCTTAAGTGCCTCATCTACTATTTTGTCTGTGTGATCATTAAAACTAATAAAACTGTCATATACACCAAGGTCTCTAATTCAGTTTTCCTCTTTCAACTTAATATTGTTTAAAAAGTAATCATATTTTACTTGATTTTGTCTATTTTTTGCTGTAAATTTCATTGTAAAACACTACTAATTGCTAACTTGTTAAGGTCTGGGCACACATGACCGCACCGAGTCCGCACCGAGCCCGCACCGAGACACGGCCGTGTCTCGGTGAATAGTTGTACCGTGTTTTCTTATGTCGTAGTCTTCACATCTACGCACCGTGCCCGCGCCGAGCCCGAGTGACACCACCGCACCGCGTCCGTACCGTGCGAGATTAGTTTTGTTTAATTTTTGACGGGCACGGTGCGTTGCAGAAATGGAGAAACTGATAGAAGAAGTCAAAAAGTATCCTGTATTGTACGACCAAAGAAATGAAAAATATAGGAATGCTGAATATAAGGAAAGGGTATGGACTTTAATTGCTACGCATTTAGAAATAAAGGGTAAGTCAAAATACATATGTTTTATTTTCAATTAAGAATCCTGTTAAAATAGGTTGAAATTGATTATACCTACTATACAGGGTGAATCTGAAAGTGAGGTTTTATTTTCAAAAGGATATATATCTCCACCAAAATAAGACTCCATATAAAATATTTTGTTTACATTTCCTCACAAATAAAAACCGGGTACAATTTTTATCGTATTTTATCTGATAAATATTATGTAATACTAATTTTTCAAACTGCCAAGGCCATTTCCTCTTGCCAGTCTACACTGCCTTCTGGAGAATTTAAAAAAGTTGTCAGCTGTTCTCGGACAGTAAATGCGGCATTTGCTGCTCTTCCACGAAGGCGAGGAAGATCCCTTAGAATTGACGATCTGTCGGATGTTTCATTTTGTTCATTTTGACGGATTCCCTGTTCGGGTAGCTCGTAGCTTTCATTTTTTCGAATAAAATTGTACAAAACACAGGTGCACAGAATATACATTGTTAGGTTTTCAGGTTTTCCTTGAAGCCTTCTACTGTATATTCGAAATTTTTGCTCTAAAATGCCAAATGAATTTTCGGATATTCTTCTTGCTCGACTTAAACGATAATTGTATATCCTCTTCTCATCTGTCAAGTTCCTTCCAGGATAAGGTCTCATCATATATGTTTTTAAAGGAAAGGCTTCATCAGCTACAATGACCATTGGTAGTTGAGTATTAGTTCCAGGTAAACTTCTGATCTCTGGAATCTTGAGTGTACGGTTTTCCAATGACTTTCCTAAATTTGAGTGCATCAGAATACCGCCATCAGAATTTTTTCCATATGCTCCTACGTCCACGGCAATGAAGTTATAGAATGGATCAACCAAAGCCAACAAGACAATCGAATATGTTTTTTTATAGTTCCAGTAGAGACTCCCCGAGTTTTTTGGTGCCTCTATTGTAACGTGTTTTCCATCCAAGGCCCCGATACAATTTGGAAACTGCCATCTTTTCCAAAATTCATCAGCAATAATGTTCCATTCCTCTTCTGTCGGCATTGACATACATTCATTTAAAAGGACATCCACTATTGTTCTACAGGTGTCATGGATTATTGCTGCCACAGTCGATCTTCCTAATCTGTAGCTAAAGGAAATTGTTTTGAAAGAGTCCCCAGTGCAAAGAAACCTGAAACAAAAAATAGTCTCAAATATTTAGTATTATGAATATACGAAAATGATTCATTTTACTCATAATTAATCTACTTATAATGTTTGTTACAGGCGGTGGCGAAGAATGTAAGAAAAAGTGGGCCTCCGTTCGAGATCAGTTTCGAAGGACCCTTCAAAGAAGAAGGACTGTCTCTGGACAAGCTGCTGTAACTCTCCGAAAATATAAATATGAAGACGTCTTGCAGTTTTTGTTACCGCATGTCGCAGAGCGAGAGACAATTTCTAACGTTACTGATAGTGAGGAGGTAGCTAATAATGAAGTTTCTGCTGATGATACCTTGGAGGAGGAAGAAGTTATAGATGGTGACGAACCTGAATCTGTGCAAGAATATATACAAGAGGAACCTGAAATACTTGGTCAGAAAACCCAGGAAGAGGTGCTCTCTGTAAACTCGTCAGCCAAGAATCCAAAATTTATCAAACCTGTATTAAAACGAAAACTGCAGCAGCGTCAATCGAAACCTCCAGAAACAGCTTCCTCTCAACTAATGACGTACATTTTATCTGAGAAGAAAACTCAAAAACAATCAGAAGTAGCAAGTGTCGAAGCAGAAAAACATCCTGTTGATGCTTTTCTGGCTGGTATAGTAGCTCCCCTGAAGTTCCTTAGTCCCATTCTTCTAAACGAAGCTAAAGGCCGCATTTTTTCCATAGTACAGGAATGTGAAATGAAACAGCTGCTGGCCTCTCAAGAAACAATTCGTTCATTTCCTTGCAACCAATTTGCACCCTTACCAGCATCATCACCAGCATTTGCACCCTCACCAGCATCATCAGGGTCTGTGCACTCTGTTCCAACACCATATGCATCTCCGGTATACTGGAATTTAGATAATGCATCACAACTTTCTGGACACCATACAGATCAGACCCAGAATCTAGAATGATGATATTGTGTGAAAGGCATTTTGCATTTTGTATGTTCGGGGTTGCCTATATGTTTAGAGTTCACATTTTAATTTCTATTTGTTTCATGAAAATGAAATGTATGTTGTAATGTTTCAGTTTACCTACATAATATTTTTTTTTGTTTTATCAAAATGCAAAATAAATACATGTTCATTATTTATCACGCTGCTAATATCCGTGCTTAACCTAATCCTATATAAATAAATAACTTACCTTAAACATACCATCAACCTTTCTTTCGGTGTTATTGCCACTCTCCAAAATGTATCTTTTTTCTTTAATCTCTCCTCCAGCTTACTCAGTAGCTGATGGAAGGTAAATTGTGTCATTCTAAAATAT